GGCTGCACACAGAAATTGGCTTCACACAGTGTACCTATGTGAGGAATAGAACACGGGCCTTCGGCATGACAAGCGAGTCGTTTAACCATAAGGTTACCCAACAGTCCCGCTAACAATAGTCAACATGTTTAAAATGTATGTAATATGACAACGTCACCACATGTCGATGCTGCATCACTGAACACATACAACCTGGCCCAGTATGCTGCCACCGAACATCACCGGAAGGCCTCGGGAAAAGACAGGATGTTCCGGATCACCCCCGTCATCATTACTGGTGAAGAATCCGAGCCCTTCCTGGCGACTGTCGAATAGCTCTGTCGTAAAGGATGGCACTAGTGGACACATCTAGATTAATCACAGAAAAATCAATGCTGGCACTGGATTTGAAAAGCCATATCAGTCACGCCGAGCGTCAATAAAGTGATAAGAGCAAAACGTTAACAGTAATTAATTGCTAAATAGTGAGTTTGGGGTTTAACCCTGCTTTAACAGTGCTTCCCTTGTTTTGTGGCATGTCAGCTGCCTGTGTGGGGAATAACTAGCGACGTAGAACGCGGTCCCTCAGAACTGACTCTCAGAGTACACGTATGGTGATGCGAACCTGTGATCAGCGGATCCAGGCTCGGCTAAGAGACGTAACTCTGCACAGCGAATTGCGGATCTTTCGACCACTTGGCCAATACTGTCCCCTTGTTTAAAGATATTTTTGTATTCACACAATTCTTCTGTAGCTTTTAGGATAACCTTTTAAAGACAAAGGATCAAATGAGATGTGTAAGTTTCTCAACCTTTCTTTTGCACATTGGAAATCACATTTTACATTAAACGTTTCGCAAAGCCAACACTACCAAGAACTATCCTTCCTATTAAGGATTTCATAGGCGCACGTTGTGGTGGCCCAGCGGTTAGCTCGTTATACCGAAGACCTGGGTTAGCTTCCCCATGAGTACAACTCGTGAAGCTGGAATATTGCTAAAAGCGCCGTTAAACCATACTCATTAAGTCATTTCAGCAAGTGAAATATCCACTACGCTCATCATATATAAGTAGTGATACACCTTACCACGGGATACATAGAGCTTGAGTAGAATCGGCGCACACGAGCAGCAGTGGCGTTCGGCACTAAATGCGATGCTTGCACTAGTGTACACACGTTAACGTCAACAGTCAAAAGTGTTTGAAAACACTACAGTATTGATGGTGAGAAAGAACACATGACACTCTGGATATACATAACATGGTTCAAAGTGCTCAGGATTCTAGAAGAGGTAATATAAATACGAGAGAACATATCGCAATGTTTTGGTTTATAGGTCTCGCGGGAAAGAAAGTTGAACACGTCACTGAAAGCAAGACTTGCTGGGAATTATTCCAAAATATAATCCATTCCGATCCTATGCCTATAAACCTTTATATGACACACCGAAGCAACAACAGAATGGCGTGTACATAATACTTTCAACGCGGTCTTCAATCAATAGGGGAGAATAAAGAAGTGATATTGCTCCACCTCTGAATAATGCACAACAGATAAAGGATGTGATATACACCAATACAAGGGAATTGTTTTACAACTGCAGACTACATGAGTTAAAAGAGAAACTATTGGCACTAGCATAAAACCAATCTTAGCAATCAGACTGAAAAAAATAGGCTTACATTTGTCGTAGTGCTAAGATCGCTTTGCGCAAATATAGAAATATAGTTAAACCTCGTTAATATAGAGAGCTGACTATAGTGTCCACTGGTTATATACACATTAATAGTGTTACAGTAAAACTTCTTTAATATAAAACGGTGACTATACCGTACAGTTATAATCAGTAACTTCGTTAATATAGACAGCTCATTATAGCGTTCAATAGTTATAATCAGTGGAACTTCTTTAATATGGACAACTCATTATAGCGTTCAATGATTATAGTCAGTGGAACTTCTTTAATATAGACAACTCATTATAGCGTTCAATGGTTATAATCAGTGGAACTTCTTTAATATAGACAACTCATTAAAGCGTTCAATAGTTATAATCAGTGGAACTTCTTTAATATGGACAACTCATTATAGCGTTCAATGGATATAGTCAGTGGAACTTCTTTAATATAGACAACTCATTATAGCGTTCAATGGTTATAATCAGTGGAACTTCTTTAATATAGACAACTCATTATAGCATTCAATAGTTATAATCAGTGGAACTTCTTTAATATGGACAACTCATTATAGCGTTCAATGGATATAGTCAGTGGAACTTCTTTAATATAGACAACTCATTATGGCGTTCAATGGTTATAATCAGTGGAACTTCTTTAATATGGACAACTCATTATAGCGTTCAATGGTTATAATCAGTGGAACTTCTTTAATACGGACAACTCATTATAGCGTTCAATGGTTATAGTCAGTGGAACTTCTTTAATATTGACAACTCATTATAGCGTTCAATAGTTATAATTAGTTGAGCTTCTTTAATATAGACAACTCGTTATAGCGTTCAATGGTTATAATTAGTGGAACATCTTTAATATTGACAACTCATTATAGCGTTCAATAGTTATAATCAGTGGAACTTCTTTAATATGGACAACTCATTATAGCGTTCAATGGTTATAGTCAGTGGAACTTCTTTAATATTGACAACTCATTATAGCGTTCAATAGTTATAATTAGTTGAGCTTCTTTAATATAGACAACTCATTTTAGCGTTCAATGGTTATAATCAGTGGAACATCTTTAATATGGACAACTCATTATAGCGTTCAATAGTTATAATTAATGGAGCTTCATTAATATAGACAACTCATTATAGCGGTCAATGGTTATAATCAGTGGAACTTCTTTAATATGGACAACTCATTATAGCGTTCAATAGTTATAATTAATGGAGCTTCATTAATATAGACAACTCATTATAGCATTCAATGGTTATAATCAGTGGAACTTCTTTAATATGGACAGCTCATTATAGCGTTTAATAGTAATAATCAGTGGAACTTCTTTAATATTGACAACTCATTATAGCGTTCAATTGTTATAATCAGTGGAACTTCTTTAATATAGACAACTCATTATAGCGTTCAATAGTTATAATCAATAGAAGTTCGTTGATTTAGACAGCTCATTATGGCGTAAAAAAGTTATAATTTGGCTATGAAATAAAGTTACAATGGAATATCGTTCATATAGACAGCCTTACGCCATAATTACAGGAAATTGTATACATATCCACAAGGAACTTGATAAATAAAGACAGAAGGACTATGTATAACACATCCACGAGGATCTGACATACATACAGCCTCGTTAATAAAGAACACATGGAAACTCGTTTATACAGACATAGACCGCAATTATCTAGAAACATGAGAGAAAATCAACTGTACATCAATGATGTCAATAGGGCCCATTTGTAACACAAAGCAATTTTCAAATACAAGGCGAATCACATCAACACAGACTTACAATATAGTCTTAGTGCTCAGTTCGCTTTGAGCAAGTGGGCCCTGTTATCCACCCAGCTGTTCAAACCTCGTTAGACGACGACGACCACTGTACTCGCGGTGACAGGTGAAATATCCACTTCCTGGTCGTTCAGACACGATGCAGACAGTTGCTGTCACAGGCCGTCGTGTGTCGTATGGTGCTATTCACAGGCTTGTTTTGCGTAGTCGCTTTTTTGACATTATATTGGATCTCGCTTGAGCCTTCATTTGTGATTATGTTTTTTTACTTGTTAACCGTCCGATGACGGAATAATACACATATACTGAAACGTGTCAATGTTCCCAACGAATAACAGGACAGCCAGTCACTAATTTTGGTCACATGTTAACCTCCCTACGAGGGATAACCAATTATACACGGTTTAATTGGTCTCACATGACCGTCCGATAGCAGGATAACCGTCATTTGTAACATCAGCTTTTGATGACGTTATAACAAAACGTGCCATTTATTACTTGCCCGTGAAGAGATGACCCGTTTAATAAACATACAGCTTTATTACACATTGTGTAATACCAAAACGCGTGCTTATGTACTCTCGGAACACGTTTCACGAACAAATATTGAACGCTCTCAACATCCCTTGGCTTATTCAACGGCATTGTGTGTGGAGATGATAGATCACTGGGAGGAACGTATGCACACTCGATGACCCCAGCAACCTTGTTGCTAGGCTGACGTCACATGGCATTGTTTCGCCGATGGATCTTGCAACAAATTCAACAAATTACGTCATCGGGTATTGTGACGTGATTGTAAACTTTGAGGTGCAAGGCCCCGTTCCACAAGGCGATCGTACTCTAGCGCAACGACAGTCGTTACCCTTAGAAGTTAAATTATGTGAGTAGTGACAGCCTTAGCGCTACAATGATTTTGTGGGACGAACGCCTGAATTCTAAAGGTGGACCATTGTATGATATTAAATTCATACGTTTCAACTTTTGACGTGTTTGAAGTATTATTCTGTTAAACTCAATTGGATTATGCCATGGATCGTGTAGGTGTCAGCCTATTTACACTCAACAGTATAATTCTAAAAACATTATAAATGACAAGTAATAAATAAAATACTAAACTCGCTCTCGTGTAAAACCAATTTTATGAAACTCGTGAATAGTTGTGGTATCTGAATCGCTTTCACTCGTCAGATACCAGAACTATTCACTCGTTTCATTAAATTGGTATTACACGGGAGCTCGTTTAGTATTCTATATGTATCTCATGGCCTTCTACCCACTCACTTTGACATGAACCCGCGAAGATCCGGGGTAGAATAGGTCTTTGGCAACCCATGTTTGCCGTAACAGGCGACTATGCTTGTCATAAGAGGCGACTTACGGGATTGGGTGGTCAGGCTCGCTGCCTTGGTTAATGCATGTCATCGTATCCCAATTGCGCGGATCGATGCACATGATGTCAATCACTGGATTGTCTGGTTCAGATTCGATTATTTACAGACCGCCGTCATATAGCTGGAATATTTCTGAGTGCGGAGTTACACAACAAACCAACAAGCAACAAACAACTTGATCATGATGTCGGAGACAGGGTGTATTAACATCCCGTGCAAAAGTATAACAACTTTGTACGTCATGTACTGACGTCGACAGTCGGAGGTGGTACAAAGAAGCTGGAGACGATGATGAGGATGAGGATGGTGGCAGCAATGGAGACGACGCAGATGATCTTCACGGCACGCCCAAGACATCGAGCTCGTTCACAGTTATTGCGCATGTACTCTCCATCCGCCTGCACTGAAAGACAACAACAGAAAACTCTTTACTCTGTGCGTGCGTGCGTACGTGCGTGCGTGCGTGCGTGCGTGTTTTGACCTGGGCTGGAGACCCCAGGGCCCAAGGGAACGGAGGAGTCAGATTACACCCTTTTAACGACACCACAAGGCTTTAAATTGAAGCCCTGATTTCGCGCGCAATTTGCCTAGAAATGTAGGCTGTAAATATATGTATATATATATACGCACGAAGGAGTCAGATTATATCGGTCTGGCATAACCTGTTTTTTGAAAGGAGGACGCTTTGTTAAAGTAATGGGAAAGTTTGACACCAGCGCAGCCGTTTTGAAATTGCTGAGTGAGGCTGACAAAGATCGTGGTTCGGATGGCTGTCGCTCACACTCGACATGAATAACGAGCAATGACAGTTTGCCACAGGCGGACTAAATCAATAATCTCCAAGTCATTGAAACTGTGTCGGGTAAAGATACATTTGCCCTGGTCTATTGAAATAGTTGTATGTGCATGTAGACCTTTTATGTTGATGGTACCTCTCGGTCACTCTGCATGTCATATAACATCGCTTCCAGGTTAAAACGACAGTCTAATTTCCATGGGCGTTACAAATATCCGAGTAACAAGTGACAAAATATTGATATTTCTTAGGAATTGCATTCCTATGAAACCCTTAGGCAAAAAGGTCGGGGTATATGAAGACACAATAAAGAAGTTTGCCATTGCTGAAAATGTTTTTTGCTACCATTTTTATGCTAATGCCACCATGAAAATCGAACCATCCAATTGTACGTCAAAAAGATGTAATATGTTGGGTTGCTGAATCTACCATATCTTTATTGATCAATCGCTGCAGCTGGACCGTCGTGTTTAAATCGGTCGCCTTCGCCTTCAATATTTACAAGAGATTACTGTAATGGAATATCACTCATTGATTGCGTGGACATAGATTATGTTCTATAACCATGCATGCTGTTAAATTTTCGAGAAGGAGGGACACATGCAGGTGGCCGAATTCACGGTACAGAGTTGCATCCATGGCCAGAAGCCAATGAGTTTGTTTTTTTGTCTGTCTTTTAACGCCCCACTCAGCAATATTTCAGATATATGACGGCGTTCTGTAAAAAAAAATCGAGTCTGGACTGGACAATCCAGTGATTAACATCATGAGCATCGATCTACTCAATTGGCATACGATCCCGACCCCGTTAATCTCCTCTTTCGACGAGCATAGTCGCCCTTTACGGCAAGAGTGGGTTGCTGAAGACCTATTTATCACAACAGAATGGACAAATAATAGCCTGGATAATCGAGGGTGTTCCAGTGAAGGACTAAGTCGGGTTTACCATCTACCCCAATAACCCGCATCGTATATGCATTACAGAGGGACTGTGTTAACAGTTCGAGCAACGCCTTAAGCTATCAACCAAGACTCTTGATCACCAATGCATTTTGTCACCTCGTTCGACAAGGATTTGTTATTGGGGACCGGTTCGCACCCGGAATCACCAAGGTATCCGGGGTTTTTTTGTCGGGGACGTAGGGGTCCAGATAAAACGTGGTGTCACGTCGCGTTCACAATCATTGCACTTTTATAGCTCACGTGTGTGCGTGCGCGAGTGTGTGTGTCCAGGGTCGTAAGGACACTAATTAAATGTTAAAATTGAATTCACTGTGCAGAATCGTGTCCCATAGCCGTGCCAGGATCCGCTGTGGTTTCCAGTCTAACATTTTGCCCTCTTGGTCCTATATTTGTTAACATCATATCTGTGTTAGTGGGTTTCCCAAAGTGGTATATGTCAACAACTGTATATCTAATTTTTATCTAGCAGTTAATTATTAAGTTAATTTCGTGAAGATGACGTATCAGATGATACAAAGGGCACAAAGCACGGAGCACTGACACCCACCCCTATAGAGAGTCCAACGGTTATACAAAGCAACAGACCCGTGAAGATCCGGGGTAGAATAGGTCTTCAGCAACCCATGCTTGCCGTAAAAAGACGACTATGCTTGTCGTAAGAGGCGACTAGCGGGATCGGGTGGTCAGGCTCGCTGCCTTGGTTGATGCATGTCATCGTATCCCAATTGCGTGGATCGATGCTCATGATATCAATCACTGGCTTGTCTGGTCCAGACTTTATTATTTACAGATCGCCATCATATAGCTGGAATATTGCTGAGAGCGGCGTTAAACAACAAATAAACCAAGCAACAACACTATACCCGTGTTTGTGGGTTTCACAAACTGGTAAACGTCTCTTTGGGCGTTCCTCCTAAATGAAGCCAACCCGTCTGGGAATAAATCAGGTTCAAAACCGCGTTAACCCAACTCACTCAATCGTACAAAACCAAACAATTTTCAACCGTACAATTTTATTACATTGCACTCTGCATATCACATTATACATAACAAAATAGAAAACATCCAGTTGCGGTCAGCCTAGTGCAAATGCTTGAATAATGTGCCGGTGTTAGCCGGATCACAACAAAGTGCAATCCAGGCGATGCCATCCCCATCACGCGGGGAACAACCTGGACTTCAGCGATACGGAGTCCTAGATAGTCAGAATGATATTATCTCATAAAGGTGACAAATTAACTGACTCAGTGTCTGTCATCCCATCCACTACACACAGAGTGATGGGGGTAATGTAGGACTTAATCCCCCATCAGGTCACAAGCCGGCGGCGAGAGCGACGGCCGCGTGTGACTCGGCATGTACAAACTGCTGACTTAATACGCCTGGCCTAATAATGATATGTGATGGTTGTGGTTAGTTCTCACTTCCACGCAACCTGTCTTGTCTTGACTTGCATATTGCAGGTTTGCGTAATGTGTGACTGGATGTGATTTACCGTATTTCCTCTATTGGGCACCTTTTAAGGGGCTGGTTTGGGGGTAAAACATTAAAATTAGAACCGACTTTTAATAAGAACCGGGTCAGCTACGGCCAGTCATCTATCCAAATTTCAACAGTTTCAGAAATAAATGCTTTAGATTTTTATAGTCCTTGTTACTTTTGGAAATTGTTTGTTTGTTTGTTTTTTGATGCCGCACTCAGCAATATTCCAGCTATATAACGGCGGTCTGTAAATAATCGACTCTGGACCAGACAATCCAATTATTGACACCATGAGCATCGATCCACGCAATTGGGATACGATGACATGCATCAAACAAGTCAGTGATCCTGACCACCCGATCCCGTCAGTCGCCTCTTCTTGCTATATAGCGATGCAGGTATACCAGTGAAACATGATAACTGTCTATTCTTCTACAGATTCCATGGCCGTCTGTAATCGTAGCATACCAAAGTAATTAATAATACTCTTCTGTTAAAAATGACATTTTACCATTCCCATATACGACAAAATAGTGCGTTTGCCTTTACCAGTAGAATGCATTCAGATAAAATATACATTATATTGTGCATGTCGCGCCCTTCTATGCATGATTTAGTTGTAGTTGTATTGACTGTTAAATGGATGCATAGAGGTTATCACGCGAGTGTGTTTGGGGATGGTAAATATCATGCAATAGGAATACAAAGTGTTTATTCCTAATACAGGATATTTACCATCCCCAAACACACAAGCGTGATAACCTCTTTATCATAAAATGTAATTCTTTAATTCAGTGCTTGAAAATCGCTTTCCCTCTCTCACAAACATTACCGAAACATTGCGAGTTTTCCTGGAATGTGCGCATTAATATTTATTACGTCACAGGGTAGGTGATATGTCAGTCGGACAGTGACAGTGGCCAATATAGTTCCAACTGCAATTGTTTTTTCTTGACTTTGGCTGCAATCCATCGGTCGGTCCGCTAAAGTAACTGCCATTTCTCAAAGGGAAGCTACTCTAACCCTAGTCTATCAGACGTCACGGCCACGTTCAGATGTTGTTATCACGTTAAGAAGTGTGGTCAGATGTACACACAGCGACGAAACGAAACAAGGTAACAATTCAAACATATTTCGGCCAAATCCAACTATTTTAATTTGTGGAAAAGGTTTCAAGAGGTCTACAAGCACAGATATGGCTACTGATCCCGCTTGGCTAGGCCTAGTGCCCTTGCAAAATTGTTTCGAAATTTATATCTCCAAAGTTGCCAAAACTTATTAAATGCCGTTAGCTACGTCACAGTTAGACACTGATATTCAGTATATTAGACTGTTCTTTTGATAATGATAGCAATGATCCCTGCAGTTTCTCCAGATTCCCGATGGTTAATTCTGACTCGATCGCCGAATGACAAGGGCGACGCATGTTTGTTTATAAACACTGAAAGTAGTCCCTACTTGACCTTTGATATTTGCATCTCTATCCGCATATGACCCAAACGGATATCGTTTTTATCCGTCGGCTTTATCCTGCCGAGAAACCTGCCCATTATATAATAAAAAGGTTTACCTAGTATATTTTGTAATACTGAAGAATTTATCATTATTACATTTAGTTCGAGTGGCTAAATGTTTTTATTGCAGGTATTTCATCTTATGTTTTCAATTTTACCTACTTCCGTTGCGTCATTGCACACGCGTGCCCTCGGAAGTTACGTAATCATCTCGTGCTAACGTCATCACTACTTCTTCAATGGCGTCACTGTCTCTATCACTTTCGCACAGCCGTTCTTCGCGTTGTACATCGCATTATCGCTTTCCGCATTTACCCTCCTATTTAGACCCGTAGCTGCGGTCGGGGAGCGACGTTTCTGCCATTTGGGCCTTAGCATTAATTATCTATACTCAACAACAAAAGTTCCTGTAACACCAATATTTTAGTGTATTTTTCAAACAAGTAAAGTTTGGTTTTCAGTATTGTAGAACATGTATGGAATCAAGTCACAAAAACGCAGCTGCTACAGAAAAGCATGCATTCCATGCAAAGGTTGACTTTTATGCAAGCCCCATGCATTTCACTACCCATGAATGGGTATAAAAACATGTGCGTTAACGGGATTCCATATGCATTGTTTAGTATCGTGCTGACAACAACCACTCAGAAAAACATCGAAATTACGCAATTATTCAACATTACGAATGCCACGCCTGTCCGAAAATGAACGTCTGCGAGCCATTGGTATGCTTGAAGCAGGATCGAGTCAACGTGATGTTGCAAGACAATTTAACGTCCACAGAAACACCATTTGGTTTTTATGGCAACGTTGGCAACAGACGAATGCAGTCAAGAGACCATCGTCGGAGTGGCAGGCCACCCGTAACCAATAAACGACAAGACAACTGGATTCGAACAACATACCTATGCAAGAAGCATCCCTAGCCTTCGACGAATATCTTCACAAATCGTACGTCGTCGCCTCAGATGTGCAGGGATTGTCGCCAGAAGACCCGCCCGACGTCCTATTTTGACAGGAAACCACCGTCAAGCACGTCTACAGTGGTGCAGACAGCGTCTACGCTGGACGACCATGCAGTAGGGGACAAGATCTATTCACTGACGAGACCTCGTTTTCACCTCATGCGATGAACGGATTCGTGTGTACCGACGTCGAGGTGAACGTTACGTCAATCATTGTGTCTTGGAAGAAGATCGGTTCGGGGGCGGCAGCGTTATGGTATGGGGGGATTACAGCAAGATAGTGGTAGAGGGAAATCTCAATGGACAGCGCTACCGCGACGAGATCATCGGCCCTGTTTTTCTATCGTTTTTGCGTCGTCATGGCCCAGGCATTACCTTTCAAAATGACAACGCCCGGCCTCATATTGCTCGACTTACTCAGGACTCTCTTCAACAAAACAACGTGAATGTACCCCCTGGCCGGCTCGCTCCCCTGATCTCTCACAAATCGAGCACATGTGGTATGAAATGGATCGGCGCCTTCGACGTCAACCACGTGTTCCACAGACACTCCAGAAACTTCGAAACATGCTCCAGCAGATATGGACAGATATCCCACAGGATTTGTGCGACGCCTGGTCCATTCCATGAGACGAAGATGTGTTGCTTGCATCGCAACCAGAGTTGGACACACACGTTATTGATTTGTAAATTGACATTTTGGCATGTTCATGTTTTTTTTTATGAAATCACGCATTTTCTGAAGTCAGTATGGCAAATTAAACCATTTGAACACTTACAAGAGTCTTTTATCTGTTGCAAACCGAAATTGTTTCAGATTTGGTAAAAAACATAACTTTGCATTAAATCTTATTCAATGTCACAGGAACTTTTGTTGTTCAGTATATTTCTAAATTGGGGTAGCACTTTAGAACCTCCACACCCTATCATGCAATAATTGGTCAATTTACATGTATAGATTGATCAATTTCGAATTTGAAATAAAAGAATTTGATTTCGGTTTGTTTTAAGACAGACATTTCATGTGAATAACACATTGGTTCAATTATCCTTATCGGAAAAAAACCACTATGCATTCTAAACATTTCTCCGGCGCTCAGGTCTCTTAGTGGTTATTCGATTACCATAAAGACGCATGGATTCACCAGGCCCATATAGCTGATAATGTACAAAAACAAGACATCGGAAATATGCTGCAGGTCACATAAGCTCACATTTATCCTTATTTCGAGGATAACTAGAATGTATGAGTTTTCTAACACGACAGTATCACCACAGAAGATTAGACAAGGGTACTTACTGGCTAACACCAAGGCGATTATGCCCGAGAGGGGATTGAAGAATACGGTTGTGCACAGCGCTAGCCACATGTAGTTTGGAGGTTTAGTCTCTAGAACCGGGATATTGTAGACTTCGGAGTTGGGGCTATTTTCACCCCCCTCCACAGCGTTCCCAGACCTTAGGGGGTCTGTTTCCCCTGCTAGTTCCACTTCAGAAAATATGCCACCATTGGCATTCTTGAAATACCCATTGGGATCAAATGATTCACTCGTCTCTGCATCTGCTGCGACTGCCATTATGCAAGGAATTGGTAAACTAATATTCAATCAGTGAAACTAGTTGGTAGTTGGTTAATGTGGTAACCGTACCTTATTGCAAATATATCCCATCCGTGTGTTTCATACCAATCTTTACGAGCGTGTAAAAGGCACAGTGTCGTGTAGATGGTGCTTAACTCGTTTCCGTTGATTGATGGTTGGAATCAAATTACAAATCCGTTGGCTAACTGAAATCCTTTGTTACTACCGAGTTGGCAAAATCCACATATTGAAATCTTGTAACCATGGTTAGCAGTGTAAACCTAAAGACGAATTATCACCTACTTCCACGCACCACAACTGTCATTCAACATGCCACAAGCAGTAATTCAAACTGTTTGCAACGGATAACGTCAGCTCACGAAGTCTTCCAATCTAGGGCGAGCAGACGACAGCATAAGGACCAACCCGAATCATAAAGAGGCTGAGAGTGACTGATCATTATTAGAGCAGCGATGAGAGCTAAGACTTTGTCGTCTTCACCCACTCAGAATCGATCTTACATCTACGTTGACACTAAATGACAGAAATCGGACGTAGATGTGCCAATTGTGAGGCATATCGCGGCAGTGGCGGAGTACGGCACAGAAAGGAAAGGCGCAATACTTCTCATTCTGTTGTCTAGTCTTTTCCACCCTTGAATGTCGTGACAGTATGAAGACGGCATAAATAATCTTATTCATTCATGTCTCAGCACTTTAGATATAAAATATTAGAGTCGCAACAACGTAGCTTTAGTTTACATTTGAATCCGTGAAAAGCGGGGGAGGGGGAGAGGGAGAGGGGCGGGTTGGTGGTGGTGGGGTGAAGGGCGCATCAAGGGAGGATCCAGCATTTTATAATATAAATATAATTCTACTGCCTACAACATACTTTTTGGGTTTTCAAAAGGACACCCCCGTAACACTTCGCCTCAGATGAAGCGGGGCATCACTTGGATACAGAATGATTGAGAAACATCTGACAACTTCAGTCAAATGTGCATCTTTGGAGACTTCAAAAATCCTTTCAGGAAGGGCACTATAGTGGTTTATTCTCACTATCTTTGGGACAAAGGATTCACAGCATAATAAAGGAATACCATAAATTGCTCGACTAGTTAGCTATATAAACTAATTTAATCGCATGGGACACTTTGTGTTGCAGTAATATATGCAATTTCAGCCCTTTGAAGAAATGTATAGGGAACATGTTCAAACCCCACTAAGCTGAACAATAATGGCCCTGGCAACACGTTTGTATTTACATTACGTAAAATAGACACATTTTCAATTTGAAAATTCTGAAACTTTAAAACTTGATCTGATGTTTCAGTAGGATATTTGCCCACATTGTTTGTTTACTGCACACAGCTGGTTGCCATGCTTTACTGTGGCATAGAGTAAAACTATTGAAATTCCTAGTTCATTTTGCAATCGAATTTTGAATCAAACTCCCGAGCAATGATTTGGTACATTTTAGTATTTATCTCTACCAACTGGTTTCAAACGGTAACTAATTAATAAACAGTATGTTATGAAATTCCCACATTGTTATTGGCATCATGAAGTATTCATAGTGAACTTGCCCCTTCGAAGTCAAATTATTGTCTCGGTACATTCGCTTCCTGTCGTTTACAGCCAGTGTCGGCAGCATGGCATTGTCAACAAACGAACTTGATGATGTATGAAATCATTCTCATAAATAAACACCCTTTTATTCTTCTTGGGTAGATTTGCATACGAAGGGATTTATTTCATCATTCTTGAAACGATGAGGTTGTGGCAGAGGCAATTGTATAGCAGGGTCTGACGGTGTTCTCGTAGTATAACTGTGTCTGACAGTGTTCCCGTAGTATAGCTGTGTCTGACAGTGTTCTGGTAGTAAAACTGTGTCTGGATTGTATAGCAGGGTCTGACGGTGTTCTCGTAGTATAACTGTGTCTGACAGTGTTCCCGTAGTATAGCTGTGTCTGACAGTGTTCTGGTAGTAAAACTGTGTCTGGATTTGTTCCTGTGGAATAACTGTCTCTGATAGTGTCTCCTTTAATATTGCCGTATCTCTGTCATTGTTCTGTAAGTGTTGGTGTATATAACTAGTAGTATTCCTGTGAATAGCCGTATCTCTGTCATTGTTCTGTTAGTGTAGGTGTATAACTAGAAGTATTCCTGTGAATACCCGTATCTCTGTCATTGTTCTGTTAGTGTTGGTGTATAACTAGTAGTATTCCTGTGAATAACCGTATCTCTGTCATTGTTCTGTTAGTGTTGGTGTATAACTAGTAGTATTCCTGAGAATAGGTGTGTCTGTCATTGTTCTGTTAGTGTTGGTGAATAACTGGTAGTATTCCTGTGAATTGCCGTGTCTGTCATTGTTCTGTTAGTGTTGGTGAATAACTGGTAGTATTCCTGTGAATAGCCGTGTCTGTCATTGTTCTGTTAGTGTTGGTGTATAACTGGTAGTATTCCTGAGAATAGGTGTGTCTGTCATTGTTCTGTTAGTGTTGGTGAATAACTGGTAGTATTCCTGTGAATAGCCGTGTCTGTCATTGTTCTGTTAGTGTTGGTGAATAACTGGTAGTATTCCTGTGAATAGCCGTGTCTGTCATTGTTCTGTTAGTGTTGGTGTATAACTAGTAGTATCCCTGTGAATAGCCGTGTCTGTCATTGTTCTGTTACTGTTGGTGTATAACTGGTAGTATTCCTGAGAATAGGTGTGTCTGTCATTGTTGTCTTAGTGTAGGTGTATGTCTAGTTGTGTTCCTGCAGTATAGCAGTCTATGGTAGTGTTCCCGTCGTGTGGCGAGGCGAGGTGGAGTTCACGTACAGGAGTATTTTACTCACATAGTGGTTTGCACGCATGCGTGTGGCAGCTTGTACTAGTTCAGTTTATCCAGTTTTGTAGCACTAGCCAACTGACATACCATGGCGCAGTTTAACATAGATATCTCACTCAGACACAGTATAGTTATATCTTGACTTTACAGACCTTGTTTTATGCCTTAATGCCAAGAATATACAAGAACCATCAGAAAACATTTTTGGTATGCCGGGGTAGGGTATGGAACGGTGCTGTACAATGGCTGCCTCTGGGAGTGTCCAATAGTATAGTTGTATACCTTCGCATCTATATGATTTCTAGTTCATGTATACCACGAACACTGGCAGTGTATTTCCTGGTATATCACTGACACTGGCAGGTGTGTTTCCTGGTATACCCCCGACACTGTGAGGTGTGTTTCGTGGTATATCACTGACACTGGCAGGTGTGTTTCCTGGTATACCCCCGACACTGTGAGGTGTGTTTCCTGGTATATCCCCGACAGTCAGGTGTTTCCTTGTATACCCCCGACACTGTGAGGTGTGTTTCGTGGTATATCCCCAACAGTCAGGTGTTTCCTTGTATATCCCCGACACTGTGAGGTGTGTTTCGTGGTATATCCCCAACAGTCAGGTGTTTCCTGGTATATCCCCGACACTGTGAGGTGTGTTTCATGGTATATCCCCGACAGTCAGGTGTTTCGTGGTATATCCCCGACACTGTGAGGTGTGTTTCGTGGTATATCCCCGACAGTCAGGTGTTTCCTGGTATATCCCCAAGACTGTGAGGTGTGTTTCATGGTATATCCCCGATAGACACATTACTCAGCACAATTCAGGTGGCTTGTAAATAATGATCCACATCATTTAGATGTGGTGATCCACACCAAATTTAAGTCAGCACCAAGACAAACATGGATGACTTGGAACCCGCTCTGCCCCTAATCCCACAGGAGGTGTTTCCTAGTGACTGCACCAGAATGCTGCAGGGTGTGCTTGGAGGTTAAACATTAAACGGAAGATGATGATTGTTGAAGACTTAACATATACGACAAACAATGACGAATCTTCATACTGTACAATTAAATTAGCGTACATAATCATAACAACTGACTCATCAGATGATAAAGTTGAAAGACATGGACAATGAATCATTTAGATTTTCATCTGTTTCACTTCCTCATCCTTGCTCTGACAGATTTTGACAGTTTGAACCCATTCCTGTTTGGAGTGATCCTGCTTGATGACCCAGGTGCTGTGGAGGAAGATCAAGAACAAATTAGTTTACACGATATACAGCTTTCCCATTGGACGAGAGGTTGGTTACATGACTGCTAAACTGAAGTTCATAAGTGTATGAACGACACAGTTTGATGTTCATATGTTTTTCACGACGCTGCTTTCTTTCTCTGCTACGTCCCTAGTTTGAATAAATACAGGAATGTTGTTTCTCATCATTTAGACCTTTTTGTCTTAGGGTCTTAGATTATCCATGAAGTAGTTCTCACTGATATGTCGCACAAATGTTGAACTACAACAAACATTCTACGTTCAAAACATGTAAAAATTTGAATTTTCTCAGAAAATCAACATATCACAATCAAACTTTGCGCTGCACCCCTTCTATTTGTATGGAAACTGTTCCCAAATTTGAAAAGAATCCAGGCAGTAGTTTTTAAGTAATAGGTTGCACAAATTTTTAAGGAAAGAGATTCTAAGTAGAAAAATGCAAAATACATGTAGCTTTATTTCTACTGAAAATCCAAATATTGAAATCACACTTTGCACTGCACCTCTCCCATTGACATAAAAAGTGTTCACCAAGTTAGAAAAAACCCTACACAGTAGTTTTAATGTAGGTCACACACAATGGGTCACACACAAAATGTGTCCTCGAAGGGACGGACGGACTGACAGACGGACAGAATTCCTTGGTATAACTATATACCCCTGCTCTTTCAGGTCAGGGGTATAAAAATTATTATGCAAGCTTGTGTCTCAAATTTTATGTCCAATGAGACAAGGCTACAACTTACTTTGTTTATTTCTCCAGTTGTCAGCCTTCTTTCGCTTCTTCTTGCCCATCTTGAAAGGTTTACCAGTGTCGGAGAAGGTGGTATAGCTGCCTTCAGACTTCCTCAATGTCCTACTTTTCAAACTGTTCTTGTTTTTCTTTGCTGACTTGGCAGTTCTCCACTCCACAGGTACATGGGCAGACACCTTCCTTGATATGAATGTATGTACACTGTTTAATTTGGCTGACTCAGTCGTCTTCAGGTTCACACAGTGATATTCAGACGAATTCATTGATTTTGATTTTTTCTGTTCAAGTTTCTTTCGTCGTTTATTTTCCAGTTTTGTTTGTTTTGCTGCTGCAGATGGGGAATGAACATCATCTGGGTCTGTTGAAACAAATACATGATGAGACAGGGACATAACATTTGTTGTTCAATATCGATCTCAGCAATATCACAGCTGAATGATGGCACCCAGCAAATAATAAACTCTGGTCCAGATAATTCAGTGATTGATATGAGCAACGATCTCTGTGTCTGGGCAGGTGGACCTGACATCAACCAAGTCACTGAATCTGATCACCCAACCCATTAAGTTGAGTAATACGACCTGCATAAGATGCTGAGGACCTATTCTAACCTGGAATCCCTACAGGGCGGACATCGTACAAAAAGACATGGCCATTTGATGCCTTCCGCTCATAATAATTAGGTAATTACACTTACCTTTTACATTTTAGATACATTCAATTTTTTCATATATCAGCACAGTATTAGAATATGCTCCTTCATTTTTGAGTTTTACAAACAAGCAAACCCTAATGTCAACAGCTAAAACAGAAATTCTGTTCGTGATATGCTTTTCGTAATCATAATTTAAGGATATTTTTTTCAAAATTTTGTCTCAAAAGTGTTTTTTGGGGAAAATTAACCTAAAAACATGTGAGAAATGCTATTTCTATCTTCTTCTTGTCTCTTGGCAAAATACTTTGGTCTTGCTCATGTCACACCTTTCAGATTTTTTATGTTCAATAAAACCTACCTCCAAACATTAATGGCTTCAAGACTTTCCTCTTGTCATACCGGGCAACTAAAGGGTAGGTGGCCATTGAGTGACTATCAATCCTACTCCGTCCGCATTCCTGCAAAAACAAACAAGTCTACAGAAGATGACAAATTCCCCAGTCAGCACAAATTCGAAAGAACAGATCATCTACTGTTACTTTAAGTCCAACTTGATGAGAGAATTTCCATCTAATCTGTCTGTCTGTATACAAGAGTAGTTATTGAGCTATCAAAACAATACCATGGAATTGGGATTCAAAACTTTGTATTACTACGTCGGGTACTATGAACAGAGTCGAAAGCAAACTTGTCACAATGGACACAGAAAAAATACTGATTGTAAAAATCCCTAAATAGCAAAAGGCACCAGATGACAACCTGGTCTTTGTGTGTGTTTCAAGCAAGAGTACCTATTATTTTTAGAGATATGATCCTCAGAAACACACCACTATGAACACAGCCGAAGTCAAAATGCTTGCCATGGAAACGGAAAAAATATAAATTCTTCACACCCCTAAGTAGCAAAAGGCACCATTTGACAACCAGGTCTGTGTGCGTGCAAACTGTCATGAAAGAATACCTATTAGTTTCAGAGATATGGTCCGGACAAACACACCACTATGAACAGACTCAACATCAAACTTGTTGTCTTGGAAACTGATTTTTTTTCTAAATTCCTAAATAACAAAAGGCACCACTTCAGCCCTTGATTAATACAATCATGTACCAAATTAGGATGAAAAATACTGAACAATGCTGTGCTCCTACCTCCGTTTCAGCTAAGTCTAACTTGTTTCGATCAAATTTTGAAAAATTCCCAAATAGCAAAAGGCACCACTTCAGCCCTTTCAGTATAGATCCTTATACCCTTGTCAAGCAGGACTGAATGAGATCTATACCGAAACATAGCCTTTACAGTATTAAAGAAGTTGTTATCCATAAATTGTGTCTTCTTTGTAAGTCCAAATTGTTTTCATGGAAATTGAGAAAAATAAAAATGGCAAAAATCTGTAAATAGCTAAAGGCACCACTTCTCGGTTGTGCCCCGGAAACGGAATGATTACAGATGGATTGACAGACAGACGAGGTATCGACTACATGCACCCGCGTTATATGCCAGGGAAAATAGGGGGGGGAGTTCAGTGCTATGTGCATCCAACAAATCACAACAGAGGGAATCAGAGTGTTCCCCTATTTACATACCTATCATGACAACAGTATGCAATATTCCTTCTTGCTTCGATCTTATAACAGTGAAGATCACTGTGAAAACAATTATTACCGGACAACACTCCGACCACCTCGCTCCCAGCATGCTTCTGTACTACTCATCACTTTTTCCCACGATCGCTCATAGACAGGTGACAAGTGGATCCAAGCATTGAGGGGGTGGATGAGCAGGCAGTCATGACTTGTTGTGTCAGGGTAAGTATATAAATAAGGGGAATACTCTGATTCCCAAACATTAACCGAAATGCAGGGGTTCTCGTTAAAACAAGGGAAGTATAAAAACATGAGAAACGGAAACCAAAACAGAGTTTTCATGTGCCGTGACTTATGATAATAATGGTGGGGAAAGAAAAGTGTGTGGTGAAGGAAAAAGTGATGAGTAGTACAGGAGCATGCTGGGAGCGAGGTGGTCGCAGGGTGTGTTCTGGTGATAGTTGTTTTCACAGTGTTCTGCACTACAATATGATCAAAGCAGGGAGGAATATTGCATGCCGTTGTGGAGGGATAAGTATATAAATATGATAAATATAAACATGATCACTGTTACCATGGTTACGTGTGCCTGTAAGTTTAGTTGGTATAGACACCTTTGTATCTACTGGAACAGCTGGGGAAACTTATGGTTTACCCACTTTGAGTCTGGTTAAACTATGCCACCTACACCAGTGACTCGATTCCCCTCATGTGTGGAATATGTGAATCACATTTCTGGTGCCCTTCATCTTGACATTGCAGAAAATCTGACTTGCTCACTCACAATGGTAACAATCCAAGGATAAGATAGCAGTAGGTACCAGTAATGGAATGACTGCCTTGGCTATACACCACATTCAGGTGTCAGACTAATGTGTTGAAGAGGTAACACAACTTACAAAGCCATAGTGTTTGTTGCTCCCGCAGTTGTAGCAGAACCTTCTCTTGTTGGTGTGGTCAGACTGACCCCTCACTGGACACGGCTGCTTCACCGTTGTCTGCAATACAACAGTGACCACAATGACAGGTTACTCTGAAGCCAGGAGCCTGGATACAGCACCACATCAGATGTTCATCTTTATTGCCATGATTTCCAGAGTGACTTTCACAATTTCACTACTCATGCTTCTTATTCACAAGCATGAAAAAAAAGGACAAAAACTATAAGTTACTCTAGTTTTCAAATCTTAGACTAGCTTTTGTTTTCTATCTGGATTCCTTTTTCAAAGTTCATGTTTGATGAAATAAATGATACATATTTGGTTTGTTTGTTGTTTAACACAGCACTCAGCAATATTCCAGTTATATGATGGTGGACGGTAAATAATTGAGTCTGGACCAGACAACCCAGTGATTGACATCATGAGCATCGATCCATGCAATTGAGATACGATGACATTCATAAACCAAGTCAGCGAGCCCGACCTTCCGATCCCGTTAGTTGCCTCTTACAACAAGCATAATCGCCTCTTACAGCAAGCATGGGTTGCTGAAGACCTATTCTACCCCAGATCTTCATGAGTGCAGGAGGTAAATGACAATGGAAGAGATAAGTAAATAGGTTTTCAAAACAGTTTATGATTTGTAACCTGTTGGAGATGTAGAATCCTTCAGAGCACATTGGCACACTTTTCCAATGAGTCAATCAGTAGCCCTGATACATATTGAATAGCCGTATAACGATGAATGGATGGGAAGACACAGTAATCAAAGCAATACCTAGAGGTATGATGCTGACAAACTGAAGATTATTATCAGGGAGAATATGGACTGTGAACAACCACTGGATCCTGGCACAATTGAGGGGAGCAACTCTGTATAGCAAATTGCAGCATCTTGGACTGTTGCGAGAACCATGCCTCCAACTCAGGTGCATGAATTTATTTTTGGGTTTTCATCCTGACTGATGACATAACGTGGCTAGATTATTGTGATCATAATTACCGTCAGGTGAAACTGCCTCCAGTGGTCAGGGCAATTCTACAACAATAAAGTTCATCATCAGTACCAATAACAGACAATCATAACGGATACAGCAGTGAGCATTTAAGTTCAAGCTACCAATCAATTGAATACATGCATGCTTGCCATGACAGCCATCTGAAAGAATGATATATGCATCCTGATCAAAATACATGGGCAATGTCACAGTATCAGCTTGATCATGTTAATGCTTGCCATGAAGTGATACATTACCTAACTAAGGTGGAGATAGATCCAAAACTTTCAATAATGTATAGCATGTGTTGTGTTTGTCGGAGTTGAGTGTGGTACCTCGTGAGAGTGGCCTAACATGTCACAGCGGAAACACTTCCAGTGCAGCTTGTGTCTTGGAGCCTCACACAACCGGGCCGTGTGACCTGGCTGGTTACAGTTGTAACACAGGGACTGAGGGCAGTTGCGGTAGAAGTGTCCTGTGTAACCACAAAATATACAGATCTGGGATTTCTGAAATAAAGTGGATATTTTAGATGTTTTATGAAAGAGAGTAAAATGGATTGGTGCAAATGGTCTTTTAATGAAGAAACACTAGATAAAAATGGCTATGTGAAGGTCAAAGGATGCAGCTGGTTCCAAAATTAAAAAGCAAACAAAAAAGCATATAATCATGATCATGATAATAATATATTCTGATGTTCCTCATACTGCATTCTTGGTGTACATAACATTTCATAATGATAAATGTGGAAATGGTTGAATTGGGGCAAAAGTGACATTTTCAATATGGCAGCTATAGTGGCCATGTTGAAAGTTGGCTGTGAGAAATTATTGGAGACAGCATAGCTGGGATCTTTCATGTGAGAATTTTCAGCTATGTTTTGAGTTTCAGTGCAGACAAAGTTTGTAGCTGGATCAATAATCGATGTTACAATGGTAACTTCCATTCAAATGATTCCAGGGGGATTAGATTTAGTTAGTATAAGATAAAAAGTATGATTTACTTCTTGGATAACATTACCACAAACAAATAACATTTATAAATTCTGCCTACAACATCATCCATTAGTTTTTAAGACATGAGAAATTGCATATGACATTGTCACTTGTTGTTTTAGACACGTAAAAACATTATCCCACCTTTGGTCTTGGACAGTCTTTGGATAGATGGCCAACTTCATTACAGTTCACACATCTAACCGCAGATGGCCGGTAGTATCTTCCCCCAAGCCCTGCACCACCGAATCTTCCACGTGATGAACCTCGACCTCCTGAGATGCCAACAACATGACCCAGGCGATCTTGCTGGTTGATTTTCCAGTTGTCTGGATCATGTTGTCTGTCTCCTGAAATAATAGTTGCATTCATCAAATCCATGCATCTTGTATCAAATCTTTATTAAATCTTGTTAATTACAGTCAGAATAGTTCCCGATGTCATAACAGAGTAGTTCCCGATGTCATAACAGAGTTGGGGAACTACGCTGTTATGACATGGGGAACTACGCTGTTATGACATGGGGAACTGCTCTGACAGTTATGACATGAGGAGCTACACTGTTATGACATGGGGAACTACGCTGTTATGACATGAGGAACTGCTCTGACAGTTATGACATGGGGAACTACGCTGTTATGACATGGGGAACTACACTGTTATGACATGGGGAACTACACTGTTATGACATGGGGAACTACACTGTTATGACATGGGGAACTACACTGTTATGACATGAGGAACTACACTATCATGGCATGGGGAACTACGCTGTTATGACATGGGGAACTACACTGTTTTGACATGGGGAACTACACTGTTTTGACATGGGGAACTACACTGTTATGACATGGGGAACTACACTGTTATGACATGGGGAACTACGCTGTTATGACATGGGGAACTACACTGTTATGACATGGGGAACTACACTGTTATGACATGGGGAACTACACTGTTATGACATGGGGAACTACACTGTTATGGCATGGGGAACTACACTGTTATGACATGAGGAACTACACTATCATGGCATGGGGAACTACGCTGTTATGACATTGGGAACTACACTGTTTTGACATGGGGAACTACACTGTTTTGACATGGGGAACTACACTGTTATGACATGGGGAACTACACTGTTATGACATGGGGAACTACACTGTTATGACATGGGGAACTACACTGTTATGACATGGGGAACTACACTGTTATGACATGGGGAACTACACTGTTATGACATGGGGAACTACACTGTTATGACATGGGGAACTACACTGTTATGACATGGGGAACTACACTGTTATGACATGGGGAACTACGCTGTTATGACATGGGGAACTACACTGTTATGACATGGGGAACTACACTATTATGACATGGGGAACTACACTGTTATGACATGGGGAACTACACTGTTATGACATGAGGAACTACACTATCATGGCATGGGGAACTAACTACACTGTTATGACATGGGGAACTACACTATCATGGCATGGGGAACTAACTACACTGTTATGACATGGGGAACTATACTATCATGGCATGGGGAACTACACTATTATGACATGGGGAACTACACTATTAGTTCCCGATGTCATAACAGAGTTAGGGAACTACGCTGTTATGACATTGGTAACTACACTGTTATGACATGGGGAACTACACTGTTATGACATGGGGAACTACGCTGTTATGACATGGGGAACTACACTGTTATGACATGGGGAACTACACTATTATGACATGGGGAACTACACTGTTATGACATAAGGAACTACACTGTTATGACATGGGGAACTACACTGTTATGACATGGGGAACTACACTGTTATGACATGGGGAACTACACTGTTATGACATGGGGAACTACACTGTTATGACATGGGGAACTAACTACACTGTTATGACATGAGGAACTAACTACACTGTTATGACATGAGGAACTACACTATCATGGCATGGGGAACTACACTATTAGTTCCCGATGTCATAACAGAGTTAGGGAACTACGCTGTTATGACATTGGTAACTACACTGTTATGACATGAGGAACTACACTATCATGGCATGGGGAACTAACTACACTGTTATGACATGGGGAACTACACTGTTATGACATGGGGAACTACACTGTTATGACATGAGGAACTACACTGTTATGACATGGGGAACTACACTATTAGTTCCCGATGTCATAACAGAGTTAGGGAACTAAGCTGTTATGACATTGGTATCTACACTGTTATGACATGAGGAACTACACTATCATGGCATGGGGAACTAACTACACTGTTATGACATGGGGAACTACACTATCATGGCATGGGGAACTAACTACACTGTTATGACATGGGGAACTATACTATCATGGCATGGGGAACTACACTATTATGACATGGGGAACTACACTATTAGTTCCCGATGTCATAACAGAGTTAGGGAACTACGCTGTTATGACATTGGTAACTACACTGTTATGACATGGGGAACTACACTGTTATGACATGGGGAACTACGCTGTTATGACATGGGGAACTACACTGTTATGACATGGGGAACTACACTATTATGACATGGGGAACTACACTGTTATGACATGGGGAACTACACTGTTATGACATGGGGAACTACACTGTTATGAGATGGGGAACTACACTGTTATGACATGGGGAACTAACTACACTGTTATGACATGAGGAACTACACTATCATGGCATGGGGAACTACACTATTATGACATGGGGAACTACACTATTAGTTCCCGATGTCATAACAGAGTTAGGGAACTACGCTGTTATGACATTGGTAACTACACTGTTATGACATGAGGAACTACACTATCATGGCATGGGGAACTAACTACACTGTTATGACATGGGGAACTACACTGTTATGACATGGGGAACTACACTATCATGGCATGGGGAACTACACTATTATGACATGGGGAACTACACTATTAGCTCCCGATGTCATAACAGAGTTAGGGAACTACGCTGTTATGACATTGGTAACTACACTGTTATGACATGGGGAACTACGCTGTTATGACATGGGGAACTACACTGTTATGACATGGGGAACTACACTATTATGACATGGGGAACTACACTATTAGTTCCCAATGTCATAACAGAGTTAGGGAACTACGCTGTTATGACATTGGTAACTACACTGTTATGACATGGGGAACTACGCTGTTATGACATGGGGAACTACACTGTTATGACATGGGGAACTACACTGTTATGACATGGGGAACTACGCTGTTATGACATAAGGAACTACACTGTTATGACATGGGGAACTACACTGTTATGACATGGGGAACTTCACTGTTATGACATGGGGAACTACACTGTTATGACATGGGGAACTACACTGTTATGACATGGGGAACTACACTGTTATGACATGGGGAACTACACTATCATGACATGGGGAACTACACTGTTATGACATGGGGAACTACACTGTCATGACATGGGGAACTACACTGTTATGACATGGGGAACTACACTGTTATGACATGAAGAACTACACTGTTATGACTTTGGGAACTACGCTGTTATGACATGGGGAACTACGCTGTTATGACATGGGGAACTATGCTGTTATGACATGAGGAACTACACTGTTATGACATGAGGAACTACACTGTTATGACATGGGGAACTGCTGTGACAGTTATGACATGGGGAACTACACTGTTATCACATGGGGAACTACGCTGTTATGACATGGGGAGTTAGGCTGTTTTGACATGAGGAACTGCTCTGACAGTTATGACATGGGGAACTACACTGTTATGACATGGGGAACTACGCTGTTATGACATGAGGAACTACACTGTTCTGACATGAGGAACTACAATGTTATGACATGGGGAACTGCTCTGACAGTTATGACATGAGGAACTACACTGTTATGACATGGGGAACAACGCTGTTATGACACAGGGAACTGCTCTGACAGTTATGACATGGGGAACTACGCTGTTATGACATGGGGAACTACACTGTTATGACATGGGGAACTAACTACACTGTTATGACATGGGGAACTACGCTGTTATGACATGGGGAACTACGCTGTTATGACATGGGGAACTTCACTGTTATGACATGGGGAACTAAGCTGTTATGACATGGGGAACTACGCTGTTATGACATGGGGAACTACACTGTTATGACATGGGGAACTACACTGTTATGACATGGGGAACTACGCTGTAATGACATGGGGAACTACACTGTTATGACATGGGGAACTACACTGTTATGACATGGGGAACTACACTGTTATGACATGGGGAACTACAGTATCATGACATGGGGAACTACACTATTATGACATGGGGAGTGAGTTAGTGAGTTTGGTTTAACGCCGCTTTTAACAGTAATCCAGTTATATCGCGGCGTGTCAGCTTAATGTGGGAGGAAAGCCCGAAGTGATGCAGGTCTCAGACGTTTATCACTTCGATGAAACCCACATGCACGGGTATGGTGCTGACAAACTTAGAAACATAATTGGGGCGAACCGGGAATCGAACCCACAATCATAGGTTTCTGGCGTGCCCAAGGGACGCAACTTATGACATGGGGAACTACACTGTTATGACATGGGGAACTACACTCTTATGACATTGGGAACTACACTGTTATGACATGGGGAACTACACTATCATGACATGGGGAACTACACTGTTATGACATGGGGAACTACGCTGTTATGACATAAGGAACTACACTGTTATGACATGAGGAACTACACTGTTATGACATGGGGAACTACACTGTTATGACATGGGGAATTACGCTGTTATGACATGGGGAACTACACTGTTATGACATGGGGAACTACACAGTATAGTTCCCAATGTCATAACAGTGTAGTTCCCATGTCATAACAGTCAGCCATTGACTCAGTCATTGACAGACTGCCATAATATAGGTGTAATACTGCTGACTGTGGCGTAAAACATACACCCACCCACTCACTGACCTTGTAACTTATTACCATCCTTCAACCTCTGAGGGAGGCCATCTTGTCTGAAGTTGACCTGTATGTTCGGTACATCAGTGCTGGAGTTGGTGTCACTGGAAGCCATGTCATCCCAGCTGTCACTCTCGGATGAACTCAGACTGATAACACTTGAATTTGGTTCAAGAACACTATCCGTTTCAATGACAACTGTTTCTCCATAATACGGCCTTGTCTGCGTGTCATCGACACTACTTTCAGAATCTACAGTAATTGCATCTCGAGAAGATTTTCCAAATGCTCTAGTCCTGCTACCATGACGACCACTTGAACTGTCACTACTGATTACAATAGTCTTCTCAATGGCAACACTATTCCGTTCTGTTTTCTCCCTTTTAGCCGACTTCCCATGGTTACAAGCTGAAATGCTTACAGTGTCCTCTGAGGCATGATTTGGGGAGACAGTTTTCAATTTTCTTTTCCTTGATTTACTTTTATCAACTAAACAGGTACAGCTTGACCCCTCATCCTTGTTTCTGTAGATCATGTGTTGAATAGCACTTGTAGGCAAACCAAGGGGGTAAGACATAGGTGTGGAGGAAGCAGTTTTTGTTGGCTTGTCATTCTTATGAACTGTTTCAATATTTACATCTAACCCATTTGAAGTGACATCTTCTACATCCATCAAAAACTGGGTATTATCATCTTCAATGATGTGTGAGTCGGTGGCTTGTTCATAATGCAACTGACTGTACAGCATACATTCAATTTCAAATTCATCTAGATCCTCTTCATCTGCCTCATCCTGTTCATCCTGAAGTTCAAAGGCTTGACACTGCATCTTTGTATTCTAAATAAAATCAAAGAAAAATGGTGATTGAATATTACCTCAAATATTGATATCATTATGATCCATGACACTATGATACATGACACCGTGATCCATGACCCATGACACCATGACCCATGACACCATGACCCATGACGCCATGACACCATGATCCATGACACCATGATACATGACATAGAGGTATGAGTAATAGTATATTATCAATAGCCCATCAATATTTATATAATTAGTGTTTTACATTAAGTACACTTAAGAAGAAGAACACTCGTCTGAACTTTTCTCTGGCATCAGGGTTAGACAAGGCCACAATATTTAATAGTCTGCTGGAACAATACTACCCGAAACCTGTGAGGTTTGTCTATTTGATTTGTTCTTAAACCTAGTTTCATACGTTGCAGGAAACATGTGCCTGAATTAGTCAGTGGCTTATATAGATCCAGCTCTGAGTGTAGGCTTGGAAAACAACAAGAAGCATTATCAGATCTACTGTCAGAAGTAAAGAATCTTGAATTTGTGACATTAATACAAGGAGAACATAATACAAAACTAATAAATAGGTTTAGGCTGTATGATTAAATAGGCTTTATGTTTGTGTACGTATGTGCCCAGAACGATTCCATCGCCATCGATCCGTTTTCGTTTTAGAAATTACATTCTAACATTGGATTGTCCATAAACTCATAGCCTCAGCTTGTCACATATGTCCATATTCAGCTACTTCTGGTCGCATTTCGCTTACGATCATTATTTCGCTATTCTTAAAAAGAGAACAGTAGTATGATTTGTTCTACGCCTCTGATTGCTTGCTTACTAATCGCAGAAACCTTGTACCGATGGGTCCTGTGCTAGTCGTCAATCTTTTCACGTGTTGTTGAAATATCGAAGGGAGAGCACTCACAACTAAAACGTTACCTTCCGGTGCAGGTTCCCATCAAAATTACGAGGTGTGCTAAACTGCTGGTATAGAAATATGGTTTTGTAACACTGTCTCTTCAATATGATTATTATGTTTTTGCGATGTAAGGTTTGCACATAAATGTCCATCTTAGAATTTTGAATCGGTTGCCTCTATCATAGGACGTGTACACCTTGGTGTCATCGGTTTTCGCTCATCTAAGCCAAAGACGTACACAGATCTAAGGGGCAAAACAATACACCCCCCCCCCCCCCCCCCTTCCCCCTCGATTACAATTTACATGGTTTTATAGTGCCGCTAAAATTCAAATCGTTTTTCTTGACCATAGGACCATGTAACTAAACGAATAGTAATAACAAAAAAACTCCGAGAGGAGGCCTCGTCTACGAGTTGTGTCATTATTATTAGTTACATGGTCCAGTGGCTGGGCATACTGTTGATGCGGTGTTATGATGATGTTTCTTGAATTTCAAACCTTAGAACGGCCTAAACTGTCAAAACATCTGTGTAATATTTTTAGCCACTGGGCCATTATCTTTAGGCAAATTTGGTATTTCAGTTTTGCTTAAGGTATTTAAAGTTTGTTGCCAAGAGACATTTGCAAAACATTGGGAATATATATATAGCAGGATGTCCAGGAGTGGGCACTTGGTAGTTGATTTTCATAAAAGTAGACTGCATGCATATGTGTGCATCAGAAACTAATCCCATATGGCAATGTTTCTGTCTTGGTGTGCCAAACACAATTCATAGAGTTGACGATCTAAGTAAGATCACCAACAAGTTGGACAATTATCCTGTGTGTGTTGGCAACTGGGAGGAGACATTTGTGGACCTAAAACCAGTTGTGACGAGTTCAAAGTCAACATCCAGTGCCTACAGGGAACACTATTATGGAGCATGTTTTGGTTACAAAAAGCATTCAACGACTATCCGCAGTCCCAGGAGTAGTTTCGTCGCACTAAATGGGGATGTGTGTCCGCCATGCAACGTGTACAGAGGAACTACGAGGAAAAGGGCACATTGCCAGGATGCTTTACCAAACAGTACCCCAGAAAACTGTATTCAGTGGAAACAACCCCATTCATGTATGTCACGAACTGATCTTGTGAACAAAATAGAACAACTTAAAGATCAAGTTGGGTCCCTCAAAAAGGATGTTTCCAAACTTGGACGCTCAACAATTATCGTAAAGTTGATCTGCTTAATGGGTCAGGAGTACCAACAAACCACAATTTAGAAACTTCTGCAGCTTGTGTATTCTGTACATGCGGGAACCGCCTCTGTGGTCCAGTGGTAAAGCGGTTGCCCGGAGAGCTTAAGGTCCGGGTTTAATTCCTGGCTGTGTCATACCAATGGACGTTAAAAGATGGTACTTGTTGTTGCCCTGCCTGGTGCTTGACAATAAGGGGCTAAAACAAGGATTGGTTGGCTTTTAGTCAAGATACTAAGCCTGAGTGGGGTATTCATGTTAAACTGCGGTCTGGTATCTCATTTGGCTAGCACTATAAAATCGGCATCTGTCTGGACCAGTACAAGCAGACACACACCCAGATACACACCCAGACAGACACACACACACACACACCTAAGTTAAACCCCATTTCACCTCACCTACACATGCAGGATTACTGAGGTCATCGGGTCTGTGATGTATCATCTCTACATACATGCAATATTTATTGAATAAACCCAGTGATGTTGAGAGTTTTCAATATTTGATTAATGGCAGGCACTTCTTGAGGCTGCCAACCCACTTTTGGTACGTGAGAGTCACTCAGTCTGTACTGGGTCTATTTAGAGGGTATTTGCAGGAATAAAACAAAAAAACATGCAGATTCAACAGTTAAAAAATATGGTGTACATAACACATCTTCAATATATAAAAACGTTTTTTGATATTTTTATCAGTAATTTAACTTCAAATTAAACCCTTTTATGACCAGGACTGTGTTCCATACTTTTTTGGTGCTGCCTTTGCAGAGTGAATTAGCCACCTCGTTTATAGTAAGTTACAGTGTATGAAAACACTTATATTTTCAAAATACTTTTGTTTTTCAGCATGTTCAGTTTCAGTTGAATGTGTGGGTCTAATAAGGTTATACATGGGAAGTAATATACAGATATTATGTTCTTGATTCAGTGAGTTTGTTATGCACTGGAGTGCATTTTATTAGGTATATATTTAGTGAGGAACACTAGGACATCGTTTCATTTTTTTGTAATGACAAGGATGGTAAGATGGTCTGATGGTGTCTCCTGCCTTTTACGGCATGGGAGATGAAGCGTCGCGTTATGTAAATAAATTCACCCATCAAGGTATTCTTGTTATGTCTCCCCTCCCTTTAGGGAAGGGATGGGGAGGAGAGGGAAGGGGTGGGGAGGAGGGAGAAGGAGGGATGACATAATGGCTCGGTCCGTTGGCAGTGTTCCCATCCTATTCTGAGCAATATTTTGAAAACTGCTCCATGTTTTTCAACAAAACTTGCCATATGCATTGCTCTTCAGCTTTACTGGTGCCTTATGTTAAATATTTGAAACAATTATTTTGTTTCAATGGAAACAATTTGGACTTAGTACATTTATAGTAACTTAAACAAAAGTATAAAATAGATGGGAGTCTGTTTTTGTGCGTTAAACCTCATTCTAGTTCATGTTATTGTTTACAAATTTTCAGTTGATTTTGATTTTCACACAAGATCATCAAGAAAGCAGGATGAAGTGGTTTGGTGTCACATATACTGGCTAGAGGAAACTGCCGTTGAACTTTCACCCAAGCCACTTTCACTCTGCAGCTGCTCAGATATGATCCAAAAGCTATTCACAGTAGCCATGCGTATACCTTCCTTGTTCCTTGCTATCATCTTGCGATATCCTTACAATATTCACTCCCACACATTTTTGTCAGAAAACCACCCAACAAATTATTAAGTACCCTGACCTTCATGTGTACTCATGAACATCTGGGAACATTTTCAGTTCACTTGCAAGTGTCTAGACAGATGTCACACGACACCATGGCTTCCCATAACCTTCATAGGTGTCGGTCATCACTTGTACCTTTCCATTTATTTCAATAGCCTTTTAGGCAGGACTAGGTGAATTTGCACACACATGGGAACAATCCAAAGGTTGCGTGATTCAGTCCGAAGGATTCTCACAAAGACTGGTTACATGTGTCCGTGACTTGACCTACAGCAGAGATATCCTTACAGATGTTTTGGTACTGATATCTGAGAGAAGCTTAAAAATATATAAATTTGGGACATGTGGGATGGTCATGAGAAACAACAGTTTATTTAATCCTGCGGGAAGTATGTGATGCCTTCATTTGATAACTAAGGAAATATGCAACATGAGAAAGGTGCATTGAGCACACAGTGCTAAAAAAATAGTCTTGGTTCTCAGGCACCTCTTTGTTAAGATAATGGAGATCATCTATTTGTAAATTTGTTTTCAGCTCCCTGTGTGGTGATTGTCTGGAGGTTGACAGTACCTGTGTTGTCTGGACGATCAGCGTGGTGGCTACATCGTGGTGATTGTCTGGAGGTTGACAGTACCTGTGTTGTCTGGACGACCAGCGTGGTGGCTACATCGTGGTGATTGTCTGGAGGTTGACAGTACCTGTGTTGTCTGGACGACCAGCGTGGTGGCTACATTGTGGTGATTGTCTGGAGGTTGACAGTACCTGTGTTGTCTGGACGACCAGCGTGGTGGCTACATTGTGGTGATTGTCTGGAGGTTGACAGTACCTGTGTTGTCTGGACGACCAGCGTGGTGGCTACGTTGTGGTGATTGTCTGGAGACATCATGTCAGTGCCGGACACCTCGGATCTGTTGAGCCAGGTGGCGTTAGTGGAAGAAGCTGCTGAGGACATATTGGCAGATCGGAGACAAATAATTGATCTGGATAAAAAGAGGAACAAGACACGAGAGGCCATCAGGTTCCAAATTCATTTCTTTCAATACCTTGCAGGTTGTTTATCATGAAAATCTCCTAGGAACAGTCATCTAAAGTACTGTGGCTCACTGAATAGCATCCCTTAGTTGTGCCTGAATCTGGTGATTGTGAGCCTAAAACCAAGATTGGGCCTGTTTATGATGCTTGGGTACTGGTCATTTCATGCCCCCCTCCTATAATACTTGACAAGTCCCTTGGCCTTGGTTTGTCAGCATCAAATTTGTCCTCTTGTATTTCACCAAGTGGTAAACTTTGATGACCTGCTTCAGTTTGGGTTAACTGCCACATTAAACTGACACAAATGTCCCACGTACAGCTCGCACATACCTTGGGGAACGGCTCTGGAAATACCCTGATTGCTGAATCCAATGTGTCTGGAAAACAACTGAACATCAAAATGCTCTCAACAGGCCTGAGAACACAAGGCTTCCCCAAATTGCATCAAAGAAACAATAGCACTATCTGGACTTGTTGGGTCGGGCAGAACTGAGACTTGTCTCTGTGTAATTAATAATCTGGTAATGATGATAAAGAGTTTGAGCTGGCAGAGCTAGCAGATTAAGTAGTATTTGAGAGACTCACACCCAACTTGTGGGGGAACTGCCATGTTAAAGTTAGTAACTGAATGATATAAGTCAATGCACGTACAGGTTTTAACATGTAGTTCTACAGCTATATTTTGTTCCCTTTCAGAGCCCTACAGAAGAACAAGGAGAGTGATAAATCCTGGGTGTGCTTCGGAAATATGTTCATCAAACTGCCAAACAAGAAAGCTGTTAATCTTCTCGAGAAAGGTTTGGATATGGAACTTCAGTGTTAGAATTAGGAGGAGCCAGAGCATGCTGATAGTTTGTGTGCTGTGTTGTATTGCATACGAAGGACCCCTTAAATTATACATTTATAATATGAGCATATTGACAAGGGCCTTTTGGACATTTGTCACTGATCTCGGAAATGGAACTTGAACAATTCAATTTTCATACCAAAAGACGTTAAAAGATGGTACTTGTTGTTACCCTGTCTGGCACTCGGCATTAAGGGGCTAAAACAAGGACTGGTCGGCTCGGAGTCAGTATACTGTGTCTGAGTGGGGTATTCATGTTAAACTGCAGCATGGTTTCTCAGTGTGCTAGCACTATAAATCGGCATCAGTCCGGACTAGTACAAGCAGCCAAACACACATGTGCATGCACGTCGCTATATAAGTGCAGTAATCTTGGACGCGACGTTAAACCCCATTTCACCTCACCTCACCTTGGAGTAGTAACTTTATTATGTAGGGTGTCCCTTGTAGCAGTAACTTTATTATGTGGGGTGTCCCTTGTAGCAGTAACTTTATTATGTGGGGTGTCCCTTGTAGCGGTAACTTTATTATGTGGGGTGTCCCTTGTAGCAGTAACTTTATTATGTAGGGTGTCCCTTGTAGCAGTAACTTTATTATGTAGGGTGTCCCTTGTAGCTGTAACTTTATTATGTGGGGTGTCCGCAGTAACTTTATTATGTAGGGTGTCCCTTGTAGCAGTAACTTTATTATGTAGGGTGTTCCTTGTAGCGGTAACTTTATTATGTGGGGTGTCCGCAGTAACTTTATTATGTAGGGTGTCCCTTGTAGCAGTAACTTTATTATGTAGGGTGTTCCTTGTAGCAGTAACTTTATTATGTAGGGTGTCCCTTGTAGCGGTAACTTTATTATGTGGGGTGTCCCTTGTAGCAGTAACTTTATTATGTGGGGTGTCCCTTGTAGCGGTAACTTTATTATGTAGGGTGTCCCTTGTAGCAGTAACTTTATTATGTGGGGTGTCCCTTGTAGCAGTAACTTTATTATGTAGGATGTCCCTTGTAGCAGTAACTTTATTATGTAGGGTGTCCCTTGTAGCAGTAACTTTATTATGTGGGGTGTCCCTTGTAGCAGTAACTTTATTATGTAGGATGTCCCTTGTAGCAGTAACTTTATTATGTAGGGTGTCCCTTGTAGCAGTAACTTTATTATGTAGGGTGTCCCTTGTAGCAGTAACTTTATTATGTAGGGTGTCCCTTGTAGCGGTAACTTTATTATGTAGGGTGTCCCTTGTAGCAGTAACTTTATTATGTGGGGTGTCTGCAGTAACTTTATTATGTAGGGTGTCCCTTGTAGCAGTAACTTTATTATGTAGGGTGTCCCTTGTAGCGGTAACTTTATTATGTGGGGTGTCTGCAGTAACTTTATTATGTAGGGTGTCCCTTGTAGCGGTAACTTTATTATGTGGGGTGTCCCTTGTAGCGGTAACTTTATTATGTGGGGTGTCCGCAGTAACTTTATTATGTAGGGTGTCCCTTGTAGCAGTAACTTTATTATGTAGGGTGTCCCTTGTAGCAGTAACTTTATTATGTAGGGTGTCCCTTGTAGCGGTAACTTTATTATGTAGGGTGTCCCTTGTAGCAGTAACTTTATTATGTAGGGTATCCCTTGTAGCAGTAACTTTATTATGTAGGGTGTCCCTTGTAGCGGTAACTTTATTATGTAGGGTGTCCCTTGTAGCAGTAACTTTATTATGTAGGGTGTCCCTTGTAGCAGTAACTTTATTATGTAGGGTGTCCCTTGTAGCAGTAACTTTATTATGTAGGGTGTCCCTTGTAGCAGTAACTTTATTATGTAGGGTATCCCTTGTAGCAGTAACTTTATTATGTAGGGTATCCCTTGTAGCGGTAACTTTATTATGTAGGGTGTCCCTTGTAGCAGTAACTTTATTATGTAGGGTGTCCCTTGAAGCAACGACTTTATGTAGGGTGTCCCTAGGAGCAAGAGCTGAACCATTTTGCTCAACTCTTTCAGATTATAATCAACTTGATGAAGAACTGACTGATATCAGGAATAAATTAAAACCTAAAGTCAACAATCTGCGGAACTTGGAAAATAAGGAGGATATGAAAGGCTTTGGCCTCAACCCTCTCAGCAAAGAAGAACTCAGAGCTGTGGAAAAGATGTTATGAAAAAACCTTGTGGTACTGGGAAACCCCTTGTATGATCTGAGAAGGGAATGAATAAACAGTATGTTTGGTTGCTGGCAACAATAGACACATTGCTGGTTCCTCTAGATCAAAAGAGGAGAATCATTTATGGCTTCATGACAGAAAGGGGTACACCTGTCACCTCAGGGTGTGAAGCAACATGCTTTTATCTGAAAAATAGCAAGTCTTTGTTGTGAGACTACCAATTGTTCAACAAGTATACGTCTCAAAATTATTGGCATGAGTTTTAAGCACAATCAGGAATATCACACGACTGTTGGTGATCAATTCTGGACCGATAAACCAGTGCAAGGGTTGTGCAGGTCATGAAATCCTGGAGAAGCCATGGATATTTTAATGGAGTTTCCCAGGCCTGGAATAGTAATGGCAACTAGAAAATTGTTATCAACTTCTGAAAGGGTCATAGAAAAATGGATCTTTTTTGGTGACGGGCAAATATCTAAAACTCAACCATCGGCTGTTTTCCATGTTCACTGTGTTGTGAGTTTTATTGATACAATATCATGGAACACTGTCATAATACCCCGGAAAACACCAGGAAAGTTGTCCTGCTAATTGTGCCTGAACCCTTCCCGTGATGCAAGGATTGATCAATATTATCTGGGTACGGAAACAAGAAACCAGGCAGGTCACATCATACATAGTGGTATTCGCTGATGGTATTCCCTGATGGTATTCTCTGATGGTATTCTCTGATGGCCAGCTATCCAAGTGGCTCTGAATACTGTATATGAATGACCCATCTCCTCATACCAACATTTGTTAAATGTTGCATTTGTTATGGCCAGATAAGTGTAAGTTTGGTTTGGTTGAACTGCCTCTGAATACTGCTATTAATACAGACATTTCAGGTGTTGTGGGGAGTGAGTTGTTTAACTACACACTCGGCATGACACCGTGGCCTATACGTGTTTGAGTCAGGACCCAACAAACCAGTGACTGGAAGCATGAGTGAGTGAGTATGGTTTTACGCCGCTTTTAGCAATATTCCAGCAGTATCACGGCGGGGGACACAAGAAATGGGCTTCACACATTGTGCCCATGTTGGGAATCGAACCTGGGTCTTCAGCAGGACGAGTGAACGCTTTAACCACTGGGCTACCCGACCGCCCCTGACTGGAAGCATGAGCCATGAGCCATGCAGTCCATGGTATTGTGGGAACCTTTTCATCCTTGGATTCTGCATAGTGCCAGTTGTCATGGATGCATGCCACAGTCATCATCATCATCATCATAATCATCATCATAACTGAAGTGTAGTCATCTGTGCTGTGTTGAAATGACAAAACAAGACATTTCCAGTTTCAGAGGATGCAGACTCACTATGTGTTGATGTAAGTTGTACACAATAAAGAAGTAGAAATATTTTTTCAGGTGAGATTTATTCAGGTGTCACAGTTTGGTACCAGCAGATGCTCGGGAAAATCATTTTGAATAACATTGATAAAAACAGGTAATCATTATGTACCTCTTAATGTCATGAGACAATTTCTGCACAAGCAGTTGGTTCTTGTTATATTCCATTTGTCAGCTGGATATCAGTGAGTGAGTTTCGTTTAGTGCCTCTTTGAACAGTATTTCAGTTATGCCACAGTGTGTCAGCTTGATACACCAGAAAGCCGCAACTGATGCTGGTCTTAGACGATTATATTTTGAAACCAGTGCATGGATAAGGTGCTGACACACCTAGAAATATAATCACGACAATTATGTGAGGTGAATGCATCATCATTGGTGTCTGGTACACCAAAGGCCCAGAACTCTGAAAGCCAGGAGTGCCCCAGTCTAGGACAAACTCTAGCAGCAGACCATGCATGATGCCTGTATATCTTTTAAAGAACAACACAGGTGCCAAGTCCTCAATAGACATTTTTAATTTAATTTAATTTTCCAAGGAGCCTCTCAAGTGTAAAATTCTAAACCTTTTTCTCATCAAGTTTGTTTGTCTGTTGTTTACACCACACGCAGCAATATTCCAGCTATATGGCAGCAGGTTGTAAACAATCTAGTCTTGACCGGACAATCCAATGGTTGATATTATAAGTAACAATCCATGCTTTCACCTTACAATGTCTTGCCTAGATCCCTATAGAAAGATGAAATACAGCTTTACATCTTGAAAGTTTACTTTAGCTATAGAAAATAGGGCTTGACTAACTGGAAAGACAATAAGATATCTGGTGGCACACTCAGATCATCAGATTAACGGTATCACTTCTGAAATCATTCAAACAACATATCAATGTACAAGGTAAGTAATACAAGGTAAGTAATACAAAATAAGTATCAACAAACTTGATAAACTCAATAAATATTTTATGGTATAACAGAAATAAGAACATTGATCAGGTCCTGTTTAACAAGATGTCCTGAAAACAGTGTGTGTTTTGTTGTTGGCTACAGAAAGATCCCCGGTTCTTTGTAAGTGTTGACCAGGTAAGGAGACCTGACATCCAGGCCATTTGTAAGCCACTGACTGGACATGTATAGTTTTACATGTGCCAGGTCTTTATGTGCACACATTACCTACACATGTCACTATATCAGGACCTTACAATCATTCCTTATATATGTCAACATGGTCAAGTGAAACTATTTTATTACATGTACAATGTCGTTGCATATTTCTGATGACTGCATTATGTTAAGTGAGGCCATTTTTATCCATTATCATTAAATTAAATAAAAAGGCAGTTTGATGGTGACTGAAAAGATGAATATGTTTTGAAACATGTTTTTGTTTATACGGCTTATTTCAAGAAAAGTGTTTTCGAATTAGGAAAAAGAAAGACTTGTATCTATCAATCTAACCAATAAATCTGGAAAAAAGAATCACATTGGATTGGCCTAGAGTATACATGGTACAGATTTCCAAAATGAAGTTGAACATTTGCAATAGACATAAAATATCAATGTAGTACTTTTCTCCACAACCTATTTTTATTGCATGTTTGTTTTTAACATTACTTAGCGATCTTTCCAGCTGTAAATAATGGAGTCTGGACCAGACTCCAGTGAGATATTGTGAGGAACGATCCACTTAAACAGGGTTCGATGACACACAATCAACCAAGTCACAGCATTTACACCTGATCCATTTTGTCGGCACTTATGACCAGCATCACAATCAATCAATCAATCACACTGACAATAGCTTGCATCAGTGTGTAGGGTCATAACAAACAGCATAGGACATCACCATTATGTGTTCCACTCAGAGTTTCATCCTACTGTACATCAAAGCTAATTGCAACGGTACAAACATTGTCGGTGAAAGATTCCATGCATGGACAACACTCACGGAAGTGCAGAATAGCATGTGTGGACAACACTCCTGGAAGTACACAAATGTAACAGCCTCAGCATTCACGTGGAATGAAACAACATTCAAAGGAATGATACATATTCACAACACAGCAAATAAGTGTTTACCTTCACTGTATAACATGATTAAAGCCAAGCAATTCAGACAAAGACAGCTAAGGGACTGACAATTTATTATAGCGGTGGGTCACCCAAAAATATGACAGTCTCTAAGGGAAGTTCATGAAAACAAAACACACATATTTGGGGAGGGTCATGAAAAAATGGGCAGTTTATAATACAATATAGTACTTTTGCATTTTGTTTGTTTGTTTGTTGTTTAATGCCGCACTCAACAATATTCCAGCGATATGACTGGTCTGTAAGTAATAGAGTCTAGGCCAGACAATCTAGTGTTTGACATCATGGGCATCGATCCACGCAATTGGGATACGATGACATGTATCAACCAAGTCAGCGAGCCTGACCACCCGATCCCATTAATAGGCTCTTATGACAAGCAGCAAGCATTGGTTGCTGAAAACCTATTCTACTCCGGATCTTCACGGGCATTTTGTCTTCTCATGGAGGGCTACTAGGTGAAAAATGGGACATGGGAGAGTCATCCAAAACATGACAAGCATTTGGGGAGGGTCCTTATTTTCTGTACAATAGTGCATCAAAAACCTCTGACATACCCAGCTCTGTAATAAAAGGCCGGACCCTCAACTTGGTGATATGGTCTGATCACCTTGCCACTGAATACTACATGTACACTCTTCTGAAAACACACATTTCATCAATTTCATATTGTAGAAAAAACAACTGTTGTTTATCCCTTCCTCCCCATTAGTTCCCACCTGGTCATTCTACCTGGAAGTAAAGGCAAGGGGAGGTAACTCTAATACACACTGCCTTCTTGCAGCATCAAGAACCAAAAAAGAGAACCGGGTAACGTGTCACTCATTAATCAATTTCTGTAATCACTTGTACGCCATTGGTTATTTAATATATGCATATGCCCCAATAACCCCCACCCCCAAGACCATGGATTCAAATGTTTGTTGGAGTTAAGTCATGAATTCCTTTTGTTTCATATCTTTAAATCAAACTTGATCGAATCTCAACATCAGCTGGAACCAAACACATTGAAAACTAGTGTCCTATCTATGAGCATGCTATAAATAGCAGAATTATTATACCAATTCTGATGGCACAGGTGTGGTTTCAAGCATACAGTCATGTACAGCCGGCGAGACATTAGCGTAAGGCAACATCTAAATATTTTGGTTATTAGATTAAAGCCACGTACAATCATAAAACATAATAAAATACTTGACATCCATATAGATTCAGCATTTCTTTTCCCCCACTAAACTGAATGAAACAACTTTCTGCCAAATGAAAGAAAAAATATATTAAATTTGTGAACCATAGACTAAAACAGTGTGTCCCAATGAGACAAACAACATGCATATTTCAAAGAGCTACACAACACGTCACCATGGTAACACAGTTAAAGAAAATATTCGGGAAGCATGGTTGACATTGTCAATTTATGAAATGTACCGATACATGATTAGGTACTCATCTGCTCATCGGTACACATGTTCTGGTCCCAGAGCATTCATCTGTTGTCATACTTTGGTTTATTGAAGAGTGGTTTAACAGTAACCGTGGAAACATAACATTCTGACACACACATTAAATAAATGGACAGCAAAAAGAGCTCTTGGTAAAGGTCGAAGGTATCCAGAGCTCCAATGTAAACAACAGATCTCAGACAACAGCCATTCCACAGAGAATCATTCCCTCATAGCTCTTGGAATATAACACTTCCAAGTCTTAACATATCTCGTGCCATCAGCCTTACCAGAGAGAATCACTGAAACATAGTTTGTGAAATAAAACACGCCCAGAGTTGGTAAATCTATGAACAGCTGGCCAGCCATACTGCAGGGAATTATTCAAACACGGTCCTTGTATAAAATTCTCCTATAATGATAGTATGAGCCACTACCACTTATCTCCGGCCAACAAACATACTCACTGAATGATAGTACAAGCCACTACCACCTATATCCTGCCAACACACATACTCACAGAATGATAGTATGAGCTACTACCACCTATATCCTGCCAACAGACATACTCAGAGAATGATAGTACGAGCCACTACCACCTATCTCCTGCCATCAGACATACTCACAGAATGATAGTACGAGCCACTACCACCTTTCTCCTGCCAACAGACATACAGAATGATAGTACAAGCCACTACCACCTTTCTCCTGCCAACAGACACACTCACAGAATGATAGTACGAGCCACTACCACCTTTCTCCTGCCAACAGACATACTCAGAGAATGATAGTACAAGCCACTACCACCTATCTCCTGCCAACAGACATACTCACAGAATGATAGTACGAGCCACTACCACCTTTCTCCTGCCAACAGACATACTCACAGAATGATAGTACGAGCCACTACCACCTATCTCCTGCCAACAGACATACAGAATGATAGTACGAGCCACTACCACCTTTCTCCTGCCAACAGACATACAGAATGATAGTACGAGCCACTACCACCTTTCTCCTGCCAACAGACATACAGAATGATAGTACGAGCCACTACCACCTTTCTCCTGCCAACAGACATACAGAATGATAGTACGAGCCACTACCACCTTTCTCCTGCCAACAGACATACAGAATGATAGTACGAGCCACTACCACCTTTCTCCTGCCAACAGACATACAGAATGATAGTACGAGCCACTACCACCTTTCTCCTGCCAACAGACATACAGAATGATAGTACGAGCCACTACCACCTTTCTCCTGCCAACAGACATACTCACAGAATGAAAGTACGAGCCACTACCACCTTTCTCCTGCCAACAGACATACTCAGAGAATGATAGTACGAGCCACTACCACCTTTCTCCTGCCAACAGACATACTCAGAGAATGATAGTACGAGCCACTACCACCTTTCTCCTGCCAACAGACATACAGAATGATAGTACGAGCCACTACCACCTATCTCCTGCCAACAGACATACTCACTGAATGATAGTACAAGCCACTACCACCTATATCCTGCCAACACACATACTCACAGAATGATAGTATGAGCTACTACGACCTATATCCTGCCAACAGACATACTCACAGAATGATAGTACGAGCCACTACCACCTTTCTCCTGCCAACAGACATACTCACAGAATGATAGTACGAGCCACTACCACCTTTCTCCTGCCAACAGACATACTCACAGAATGATAGTACAAGCCACTACCACCTATATCCTGCCAACACACATACTCACAGAATGATAGTACGAGCCACTACCACCTTTCTCCTGCCAACAGACATACAGAATGATAGTACGAGCCACTACCACCTTTCTCCTGCCAACAGACATACAGAATGATAGTACGAGCCACTACCACCTTTCTCCTGCCAACAGACATACAGAATGATAGTACGAGCCACTACCACCTATCTCCTGCCAACAGACATACTCACAGAATGATAGTACGAGCCACTACCACCTTTCTCCTGCCAACAGACATACAGAATGATAGTACGAGCCACTACCACCTTTCTCCTGCCAACAGACATACAGAATGATAGTACGAGCCACTACCACCTTTCTCCTGCCAGCAGACATACAGAATGATAGTACGAGCCACTACCACCTTTCTCCTGCCAACAGACATACTCACAGAATGATAGTACCAGCCACTACCACCTTTCTCCTGCCAACAGACATACAGAATGATAGTACGAGCCACTACTACCTATCTCCTGCCAACAGACATACAGAATGATAGTACGAGCCACTACCACCTATCTCCTGCCAACAGACATACAGAATGATAGTACGAGCCACTACCACTTATCTCCGGCCAACAGACATTCTCACATAGTCATTCATTAATGGATCCAGGAATAAATAACTTCCCCGTAAGCTATCAGTATCATCAACAGCAACATCTTTGGGAATCAGTTAAGCAAGGCTTCCTTAGTCTCCGCAGGAATGTGAAATGTGTACTGGCCATGATGAGACAGAGCCCCTTTAAGGAAACCAATCAAACAGTCACTATATTTGATTACAAGCCATGGGTTTTCACAACTATGATTGTATGCAAAGCTTTATGTAAATATTGCCTCGACATGAAATGACACCTTTAAATTGTAAGGTCATTAAACAGTTCCTATACAAGTGGTTCACAAATACAACAACAGTACAGCTTAAACACATGCTAATGTAACCAGCTGGGATATTTACACTGATATAGAGAAAACAAACACTGACAATAGTCACTATCAACACAGATGACAATGGCTTGGGTTGGAATTGGAAGAAATAATCCAGTTGAATTGAAAATCTGTGGAATTACACTGAAACAGCATTATCCTTCTATTGATCCAATATCATGTAATATAAACACAATAAAACAGACATCAAAAACATTCTAAAAGTACTTTTGCCCTTTAAATAGTTTGGACATCATAACATGTATAAATGTTTCACTTATTTTCACAAAACTACAATCAAACCAAAAAGTAAAAGGCAAGAATAAATATCCTGAGAAATTATTCACGTTTATCATCCCTTAATTTGAGGAAGAAAATGTTTGTCTTCAATCAGCATTCATTAATGGCCAGGAGTTATCATACCTATAACAATGGTACTGCAATAGTTCAAAACACTCTTGCAATGTCACACCGCTATTGAAGGAGTACACTCTTGCAATGTCACACCGCTATTGAAGGAGTACACTCTTGCAATGTCACACCGCTATTGAAGGAGTACACTCTTGCAATGTCACACCGCTATTGAAGGAGTACACTCTTGCAATGTCACACCGCTATTGAAGGAGTACACTCTTGCAATGTCACACCGCTATTGAAGGAGTACACTCTTGCAATGTCACACCGCTATTGAAGGAGTACACTCTTGCAATGTCACACCACAATTGAAGGAGTACACTCTTGCAATGTCACACCGCTATTGAAGGAGTACACTCTTGTAATGTCACACCACAATTGAAGGAGTACACTCTTGCAATGTCACACCACTATTGAAGGAGTACACTCTTGCAATGTCACACCGCTATTAAAGGAGTACACTCTTGCAATGTCACACCGCTGTTGAAGGAGTACACTCTTGCAATGTCACACCGCTATTGAAGGAGTACACTCTTGCAATGTCACACCGCTATTGAAGGAGTACACTCTTGCAATGTCACACCGCTATTGAAGGAGTACACTCTTGCAATGTCACACCGCTATTGAAGGAGTACACTCTTGCAATGTCACACCGCTATTGAAGGAGTACACTCTTGCAATGTCACACCGCTATTGAAGGAGTACACTCTTGCAATGTCACACCACAATTGAAGGAGTACACTCTTGTAATGTCACACCACAATTGAAGGAGTACACTCTTGCAATGTCACACCACTATTGAAGGAGTACACTCTTGCAATGTCACACCACTATTGAAGGAGTACACTCTTGCAATGTCACACCGCTATTAAAGGAGTACACTCTTGCAATGTCACACCGCTATTGAAGGAGTACACTCTTGCAATGTCACACCGCTATTGAAGGAGTACACTCTTGCAATGTCACACCGCTATTAAAGGAGTACACTCTTGCAATGTCACACCGCTATTGAAGGAGTACACTCTTGCAATGTCACACCGCTATTGAAGGAGTACACTCTTGCAATGTCACACCGCTATTGAAGGAGTACACTCTTGCAATGTCACACCGCTATTGAAGGAGTACACTCTTGCAATGTCACACAGCTATTGAAGGAGTACACTCTTGTAATGTCACACCACAATTGAAGGAGTACACTCTTGCAATGTCACACCACGATTGAAGGAGTACACTCTTGTAATGTCACACCACAATTGAAGGAGTACACTCTTGCAATGTCACACCACTATTGAAGGAGTACACTCTTGCAATGTCACACCACTATTGAAGGAGTACACTCTTGCAATGTCACACCGCTGTTGAAGGAGTACACTCTTGCAATGTCATACCGCTATTGAAGGAGTACACTCTTGCAATGTCACACCACAATTGAAGGAGTACACTCTTGCAATGTCACACCGCTGTTGAAGGAGTAACATGATGACCTCTACCTTTCTACAGTCAATATCCTTGTATTACTTAACATGAGGTCAAAGTCCAACATGTCTGCCCTTTTCCATGTTAAGTAGACTCATTGGAGAGAATGAGAGGGCTCCACGAGCTGTCCCCATATGTTTGATGTTTAATGCCGCACTAGCAATATTCCAGCTACATGACAGCGCCCTGTAAATAATCTGGACCAGACAATCCATTCAATGATATTGTAAACGATGATCCAAGTTGTCGGGGTACGATAACACCTCAGCAGCCAGGATACCAACCTTGGCCATCTGATCCATTTGGTCGCATCTTACGACCAGCATAGGTTGTTTGGGACCTGTTGAAACCAGGAATACCCATGGGGGATTATGTAGAAATGAACTTGAGGTTTGCATTGTGAGCAAACACTTTAATCACTGGCTACCTAATCATCGAGAATTTAACACAGAAGGACCTATAACATTATATACTTGAAGTATTTTGGGTGTCTACTGCTTTTAGAAATACAACTTGTTAGACTGAGAAAGCTATTAGTAGGACAACTTATTAACAACAAGTATCGTCTAACACATACTTTGAAATAAGTTACAACATCAGATTATCGAATACAGTTGGCACAGATGGATTTGAGGTTGGGTGGGTCATATTTCATACTGGTAACCATAGTAACATTCTTGAGACAGCTGACACATTAAATGTTCATAAGATGGTACCGGCTGAGGTTCACAGGTGTGACAACCAGAAACACTAGATTGATGGTTTTATACAATTAGGATCACATTAGGTCATACATGGTTTTGTTGAAATCTGTGAGTTAGGATAAACAGGTCTTAAACAACATCACAATTCTACAAAAATCTCCTTTGTTATCAATTCCTTAAACATAACTTGAAACACCAAGAGTTTTCAGTGTTCGACATTTTAAAGGTGTTCCTGTTCCAAACAGTATCACTATTTCAAAGTGTTTAATCAAAACTTCTACCGAGTCTACACATTAAGCATGGTGGCCAGTTCTTCAATCCGGTGTCGGTTGGCAACCATGTAACAGTGAGATTCCCACATCATGTTGATCAGTTTGGAGTTGTCATGGCAATCAAGGGCTACATTTTCCGAGAGCTGTGGGCTGTAGCGGTAGAAGGGGACGTTGATCATGCTGCACCATGCACGCGCTCGGTCCACGGGTCTCCCCTCCGACACAGTAGCCTGTAGGAAGGCAATTTTAAACTTACAGAAAACTTACATTGTTAGTGTAAGATATTAGACATTTTCATATAACTGACATGTAGCTTTGTTTCTTTCAATCACATGGAAGTAGTGAGGTGAGGTGAGGTGAAATAGAGTTTAACGTTGTGTCCAAGATTATTGCTCTCATATTGCATGTACATGTGTGTGGCTGCTTGTACTAGTCACTGAGATACCATGCCACAGTTTAACATGAATGCCCCACTCAGAAACAGAATACTGAATCTGAGCTGACCAGTCCTTGTTTTAGCCCGGTGACAACAAGTACCACCTTTTAACGTCTTTTGGCATGATGCGGCTGGGGATCAAACCCCCCATCTTCCGCTCTTTTGGCACTGACTGACAGGTGACATAAGTAATGAAGTTTAACAATATATCTATGAATGTATTGCAACTGTTTGCCTTATGATTGTAGTATATTGATAGGAATCTAAAACACTGATGGCATTGTCGATTGTATGCCTAACAATCGATAGTTTCAATAGTCGCAATTAGCATGATTAGTTTTAAATAAAAAAGAAATTATGTACCCCAAAACTCAAACTTTGAAGTCAAATTTCAACCTTCCATGTGTTGATTAGCAAGGATTATATTCATTTCAGATTAGAGATACTACACTTTAGTTTGAGTAGCGACAGGTAGGATAATGGCTGACTTTGACACGTCGACAATGCTTTATTAATTTCTATAACATTGATTAATATAATTATCAAGCCTTAACTCTGGTTTAGTTCTATCGCAATAACACTGTAATGGTGTGGGAACTATTGCAATACTATACTAACAGTGAAAATATCCCCAGTAGTAGAGACACCTCAGTTATTTAGGTGATAAACATGAAGTGTTTCCTGATGTGGTGTTTTGGAGTATTTCATGCCTGAAAGTTGCATATGGAACTGAGCTGCATGCTACAACTGAACTAGTTCTAATGATTCAATCAATGAATTTTATTTGTGTCCAATTTTAATTTTAATATACAAAGGATGCAGTAGTCTGATGTGCCTACTTGTTTGCTTGTATAGCCTTCCCATAAGAGACCAGTTCAAAAGTTGGATGTCGGATAAAATACTTTATAAAACGCATTAATTCTGAAGTTTTGAGTCTCGTGGTCTCTTTTGTCACATATTCTTGTGTTTTGACCTTTTTTTTTCGAATGTTTATCGAATGAAGTTTATTTACTAGTTGTTGACAATCATTTGTATTGTTTTAATAGATCACATCTGTCATCATATATTACACACTGCGCTAGACTATTGCCCACGATGATACACTCCGACCTTGTGGATAGACTGGATGTATTTAATAACAACTTCTAACAGAATATGAATGAAAATAGGATCAGTTTAGTTTAGTTACTATATAAAACATTGAGAAATCAGGTAAGATGATTTTGTCGGATGGAAAACTTGCCTTTAAGCTTTTGAATTGGTCCCCAATACATTCTGTTTCTTATTCAATCATACTACCAACTAACTGGACAACTAACTTAAATGAAACTATAACACATTATCAGGCACAACAACAATTTTTTTTACAAACTTTGAAAACACTTCTTTGAAAGGCATTTAGAAGTGATACACATAAGGAAGAGAATACTGGATGTCAACTTCTTTATTATGAGGAACACAATGTTTCGGAGTATATGCTTACTCCATCAGGTGAATGATGAAGGAGTAAGCATACTCCGAAATGTTGTGTTTCTCATAATAAAGAAGTTGACATCCAATATTCTCTTCCTTTTGGAAACACTGTCAGCATATTTTACTGTATGTTACCTGGTCAATTACAAGATTGCCAAGTGATGAGACACCCATAACAGCTTTTGCTGCGTCAAACAGTCCTTCAGGTCTGAAGACATCCACATTCTGTACCACATTCTGGGGGACACGCCCTGTACCCAACGACACCACACACCCAAGTGGTCGTACTTGGTGACCTTCATTCTGAAGAAAACAATCAGAAAACTATTTCTTTGTAATGAATTAGTGAGTGTGTTTCAAGTTGCTTTGAACAGTACCTTAGTTAATCTGCTAAAAAATAACAAAAGCATGCACGCAATCATAAAGTGATGTACTTGCAAGCAGGGATCAACTTCTACCAAATTATTATTTATTACACCAAAACAAGTTTATTGTTACTGATATTTGTTGCAGGCTCTCTCAATACCTTTGAAAGCAAGTCTTAGTGCTCTCTTAGGCTACACAAGATCTGAGGACATCCAATTACATGTCATGTCAGAACAAACTTCTCCTACTTTGACCAATCAATAAAGTGAGTGACAGGAAGTCAATATTAGCCAAACAGCTTTCTCAGCTTTACAGCACTAGCTTAAGAAATATCTTGACAAATTTCTTGACTCAAACTTTGCAGACTAAATTCTGTCAATGTCTACTAGCTGGCCAAGATCTTTTCTGTTTCAAATATTTATCCTATTAAAACGGGAGACAGACAATGTCTAGCAATTGGAATCAGTTGTACAGTCCGTAACTCTCGTTCAGAATTACGCTGTGTTAACTTTTTCAAGGTTGCATGATTAGAAAACACATTCAGACTTTCTTTTCCATGACCTTGTAAGAAACTTTCTGATATGTTGGATGAAACATTGTTCTTACATGATTTATTTTATCAATATGCTTAGAAGCTGAAAGCAAAATTATTTATTTGAAATGTCTGGGGCAGCAAAAAATCTTGAAATCAAGGTATGACCCAAAAAAAAGAATTAAAAAAAAATGTGTCTCTATCCTGCCCAACCCTTACTGAAACTGATGGTGCAAGTCTCACGTTTTGTTTGAGTCCTAGGTTGTATTCATGGATCTCCGTCAGCACGTCCAGAGTGGGGTTGTTGGCGATGAGCCCGCCATCCAGAAACTTGCCGTATGCCCTAAAGTAGGTCGGTGCTGCCCCACTGCACCTCGCTGCTAGCCATATTGGCTGTTCTGGAGGAGAGTCAATCCATGGCTCTTATTCTCATGTCATTACAAGGCTATAACAGTGACCTACACTGTTCAATCATATCTGGAGGAGGCAATTTCCCTCTCTTCATATGGGTCACACAAAAAGTGCACAGTTTGAAAACCATTTTTTCAAACACAAAGGATGATGTGTGGTAATAGTTTAAGAATTGAGCACAACTCAAAATTGTTATGAAAGTACTCAGATGTGTTCATCTGACTGAGAACAAATATATTTTCTTTTCAAACTATTCAAGTTAGGGATGTATGATACAAACACAAGAAACAAACACACGCCACGAGGAAGTGTTTCTCTGATATTTGATAGGAGCAAGTCTTGCTGGTTCCCAAAGAGATGCAAGATATAGCCAGACATTTTCAATTTGAGTCATTGCTTGATTTTCTCCTGATGTTGAATTAATCCCACTTTTGTACTAATCTCATTATAATTTCAAAACTGTCAAGGGACAGAAAGAATAAACATTGATAAAGACTAGTTGACAGTCCAAAAAAAATATCAGATGACTAGCATCATAACTTTTTGTCTTTAACTTTGATATTAGTCATTTTCTGAGGGCTCCTTCTCTCTGTCCTGGACTTACTCTCGGGGTCTGGAACCTCCACCAGTTTGACGTCCCTGTCGTCTCTGTGGGGGGTCTTCAGGTGCTTCCTGTAGGTGCGGAACATGTGCAGCTCTGCTGGGTTCCGGTCTGCCAGGACAGCGGTCACTAGCACTCTGAAACACCACATGTACACAATCCATAATGGAAGATATTGTCTCACACATCGATTACTCTATTCACTAGAGTATAAAAGCAAGACATATTGTAGCCATACAATCCACCTTCTGGTTGCCAGTGTCTACATGCATGCAGTGGTAATGGATCTGCCCCAGTTCCCAGTGCAGGTAATACTTACTTGGGATGTTTGATGTCAGTCATCACAGCCTCCTCGCCAAACTCTCTCTTCAACATGGCCTCGAACGGCTCTGATGAGTAAGGTCGTCTCCCCTTAAAAACTTCGTCTTTCAAACGGAAATACACACCCTTTAGATACTGTAGAGAAAACCCTGAAAAATTAAAATTATCATTGAGGAGTTTAGTTTTTTGTTTTTTGTTTAATGCTGCACTTAGTTATATTCAGCCATGTTATATCATCCTTAAAAATTTCATGTTTAAAAAGATATTGCGAAAAAAACATTAATTATGACCTTGCTAGTTTTCAGCTGGCTCATATCTACACTTTAGGTGCCAGTTTGCACAAGAATTGGGAAATTGTAAATCCTTTCTGGGAAGATACCCTTATAGCCTGGAGTGACTTTATGCATTCATATGACTTTGAAGACTTAGAAAAAGCAGAAATTGCTTCCCAACCCATATGGTTAAACCATTATTTTAGAGAACCAGTATTAATTTTTAATGACTGGTTTAAAAAAGGTATAGTTACGATAAAAGACTTGTATGATGAAAACGGATGGATCCGTTTCCCACGTTTACAACAACTTTATGATCTTAAAGGAACTTTTCTCGACTATAACCGTATGTTCTTTAATATTCCAAGAAGTTGGAGACAAAATATTGATAAAAATCTACATTCCTCTTCTTATCTCACAGTATCTCCTTGGATTTATGATCTTGCACGTTCTATTAAAGGAACAAAAGTGTTTTATAATAAACTGATTGGGAATTCCCTCCCTCTCCCTAAATCTTGTTTGAAATGGGAAAATCAGCTGGGATGTTCTTTTCCATGGAATCAAATATTCAGTGTATATTGCCATGGGTTAAGGGACACAAAACTCAGGGATTTCCAGTTTAGATTTATTCATAAAGTAATATTTACTAAACGTGAGTTATTAAGAATGAAACATTGATAACGATGAGTGTTCTATGTGTCATACTCACAAAGAAAATGTTTTTCATGTTTATATCGAATGTCATGTTGTTAAGAATTTCTGGTCAGATTTCTGTATTTACTTGACTCATATCTTGCATAGAAAAATCCTTATAACTGACAACGAGCTCCTGTTTGGTACCTCTGATGTAATAATTAACCATTTGATTGTAGCTGCTAAAAGATTTATCTTTGTCCAGTGTATTAAGAATGAAAATGTTGACTTTGTTGCTTTTAAGAACACATAATTAACCATTTGATTGTAGCTGCTAAAAGATTTATCTTTGTCCAGTGTATTAAGAATGAAAATGTTGACTTTGTTGCTTTTAAGAACACAATAAGAAGTATCTATGACGTTGAATATCATATTGCACGTAGAAATAACGACTTCTCTGCCTTTAACAGAAAATGGGCTTTGTTTACTCAAACTGCAAAATAACTTATTCACTTGAAGTTTGCAACATAATTTGATGTACCATAAATACTGCATCTTCTTAATTGTATACATAAATATGCCTTCATCTGTACCATGATGTGGATTATGCATTCATCTGTACCATGATGTGGATTATGCCTTAGGCCTCCTCTATACCATATCCTTTTGAGAAGTACCTGTATTCATAAAGCTGTATTGCTTTCCGAGCGCATATGTATCCTGTGTATATGACTGAATAAAAATTTATAAAAAAAATAAAAAAATATTCAGCTATGTGATGGTAGCCTGTAGATCATCGAGTCTGGGCCAGACAATCCAGTGATTGATATTAAGAGTAACAATCCACGTTATCAGGATACAATGACACGCAATCAACCAAGTCACCAGTTCTGACCACCTGATCCATTATTGATACGTCAACATAAATTGCAGGCAGCGAGTCAAGGGACATAACTCTAATTTGTCCCCCCGAGTACAGACAAGCCACTTACCCCTGGCAATGCCAAGAGCGAGGATGCCGCCAGTGCTGGTCCCACCTATCCAGTCAAAGCAGTCTTTGATTGGTCGGCCCGAGGCAGCCTCGATCTCCATCAGCATCTGTATGAGCACCAAACCTCGGATACCGCCTCCATCCAGGCACAACACCTGTACGGATAACAACAACTTTCGAATCTCCACTGGTGGTAGACGTACAATGTCTCTCATTTAGGGCAGACTTTATTACCTCATGGTTTTCACATTTAAATCTCCTTGCCAGTAGGTTGAGAAAATAGAAAAATACCAATATTGACATTTTTGATTATGTTATGTTGTTTTGCAAAACATTTTCAGAATCGGTTGCCTAGGTAGGCTTATTACATCATTTAACCTTTGTCTTGCAGTTTAACTGATTGTATGCATAACTAAATTTGTGGTGAAGGCTTTTGGAGGAATAACAAAAGTTCTTTTAAGATATTCATTTTGGGGGGTCAGTGGAATCCTTGAACCACTTTAACAAAAGTCATGAATTACTGAAGATGTGAAATTTCTGGAAAAACAATTCCAATCTGTATTTTCTGTCTTTGAAAACTGTTGTTTACCTCATGTACTGATGGCCGCTGATAGACGATTCTTGGTCAACCCGACAGTTCTGATATTTGTTCATAATAAAGATAGGCTTTGTCACTTATGTTTTCCAAAAGACACTGTACTGTCTAATATTGTAAATTAGGGCCTGACTAGTTTTATGTTATGGATTACATAGATGTAAGAAACCAACTAGTTTGGGTATGCTGAAATTAAAATACAAATAAAATTCATGTAGCTTAATATCTTTTTTTTAGGTATACCCCCTGTAGTTTAGTGGGAAAAATATATGTGCTAATTCTGTGAAATAAAAATAAACTTTCTTTATCTTATTTTCTTATTTGTAAAATATGAGAGTGTCAGCCGATGATTCCTGTCACTGTTTTGTCAGACATCACACTGGATCACAGATTTCAACACAAACAGCAGCACCATGTTCCCATGGAACTCACCCGATCACCGATGTGAGAGGGAGCGTCCACCATGTCCAGTACTGACCCTGCCTTGTGGACAATGGTGGCGTCAGTCGGGACGTGCGCAGACAACATCTCATCAAACAGAGCTGGACAGAGTAAACATGCACTGTATTATTACCATGTTCCCTAAAGGACTCTCATTGAGGAACACGGGCGCTGATGGGAAAAAGTAGTGAAGGTTCATATACCATGACCTGTGTCAAGTATTGTTGTGTGTAAGTGAAAAGTCCTTAATGGTACTTAAGGCAAATGACTCAGAAAAGGAAGTCACAAATAATGCCACTAACAAAATCGGAAGTGGATCCAGGTGCACATAATGGCTGGGACGCGTAACTCGGGTTGGGTGGGTCAGAGTAGGACCTTGGTACCCACAGGACCCATGGCTAATTATGTGATCTGTTGTTTAATGACAGAAACCACTGGTGGTGGTGGGGTGGCGGGCACTTAACATGTAAGGTGTCTGTAACAAAGTGGGGTGTGCACAACCCCTGTACCCCTTCTCTGCATCTGCCAGTGATAATGCTAAGGCTTCCATCCAATCAGAATGTTCAAAATGTTATGGCCGCAACATTGGAGCAAACTAAGTTTAGTACCCTACTAAGTGGCCTGGGATGTGAGTGTTCAATTGGGGAGTATGTAGCAGGGCATGGTCAGTCCACAGATGACATCCTCTCCTTGTCCGAAACTGAGAAAAACAACCTGGTTGTCTGGCATGACTTTTGAACAATGGTGGGTATGTGATCGTAAGAATATCTGACAATGAAAGGTCCTTACCTACGCTATCCACCCTCAGAAGGCCCCTCATGACTGGGTCGGGGATGCCGTTGTGGGTACCCTCGGGCACACAGCCAACTAGACAGCCCTTGACATCCACGCCACAACGCTTGGCTCCCGACACATGCAGGAAGTACAGGATGAGATCCCTGGAAAAGCAAACTCAAAGGTTAACTTGATGTGAAGGGTCACTTGATACTAACTGTAAAGCCACGTGATGCTTAGAGCCTGATGCAAAGTCACGTGATGCTTAGAGCCTGATGTAAAGTCACGTGATGCTTAGAGCTTGATGTAAAGTCTCGTGATGCTTAGAGCGTGATGTAAAGTCATGTGATGCCTAATGCTGAATGCAAAGAGTCACTCGATGCATAGTGCTTGATGTAAACAGTCACTCGATGTATCTTGCTTGAAATAAAGGTTCATGTGATGCTCAGTGCTTGATGTAAAGAGTCATGTAGCTCAGTGTTTGATGAAAAGAATAGCATAGCTCAGTGCTTGATGTAAAGAATAGCATAGCTTGATGCAAAGAATCATGGAGCTCAGTGCCTGATGTAAAGAGTCACGTAGCTCAGTGCTTGATGTAAGAGTCACGTAGCTCAGTGTTTGATGAAAAGAATAGCATAGCTCAGTGCTTGATGTAAAGAATAGCATAGCTTGATGCAAAGAATCATGGAGCTCAGTGCCTGATGTAAAGAGTCACGTAGCTCAGTGCTTGATGTAAAGAGTCTCATAGCTCAGTGCTTGATGTAAAGAGTCACATAGCTCAGTGCTTGATGTAAAGAGTCACGTAGCTCAGTGCCTGATGTAAAGAGTCACGTAGCTCAGTGCTTGATGTAAAGAGTCACGTAGCTCAGTGCTTGATGTAAAGAGTCACGTAGCTCAGTGCTTGATGTAAAGAGTCACATAGCTCAGTGCCTGATGTAAAGAGTCACGTAGCTCAGTGCTTGATGTAAAGAGTCACATAGCTCAGTGCCTGATGTAAAGAGTCACGTAGCTCAGTGCTTGATGTAAGAGTCACGTAGCTCAGTGTTTGATGAAAAGAATAGCATAGCTCAGTGCTTGATGTAAAGAATAGCATAGCTTGATGCAAAGAATCATGGAGCTCAGAGCTTGATGTAAAGAGTTTAGTAGCTCAGTGCTTGATGTAAAGAGTCACATAGCTCAGTGCTTGATGTAAAGAGTCACATAGCTCAGTGCTTGATGTAAAGAATAGCATAGCTTGATGCAATGAATCATGGAGCTCAGTGCCTGATGTAAAGAGTCACGTAGCTCAGCGCTTGATGTAAAGAGTCTCATAGCTCAGCGCTTGATGTAAAGAGTCACATAGCTCAGCGCTTGATGTAAAGAGTCACATAGCTCAGTGCTTGATGTAAAGAGTCACGTAGCTCAGTTCTTGATGTAAAAGGTCACATAGCTCAGTGCTTGATGTAAAGAGTCACGTAGCTCAGTGCTTGATGTAAAAGGTCACATAGCTCAGTGCTTGATGTAAAGAGTCACGTAGCTCAGTGCTTGATGTAAAGAGTCACGTAGCTCAGTGCTTGAAACACTGGATATGAAAGTCAGTTAGGAGATAAACATGCTGTATTCAGAAATATCGGTTTCTAGAAGTGTTATTGTAGATAAGATATCACTCATTATAATTTTGAATCTAGTGCTGTAGTGTTAGGTTTCAAATGTACAAATAGGAGGTATTTGATTCAGACTGATATATTTCTAAAGATTGTCCACTCACTTGTTCTTTCCTTTAGACACGGCTGCTAGATGTCGAGATGTGTGTCGGTTTTTGTTCCTCAAGTTAACACTGGCCCCAAACACAACAAATGTCCGTACAAACTCAACATCATCTCGCTGGCAGAAAAAATAAAAGCACTTATATATTTGTGTCGAGAAATACGAATCAATTTCTACAGACAATGGATCCTTAACAAGAGTCATCAGGAGATGACATATCCCCCCGGTCTGGTACATTTTGTAAATGGAGTTTGGCTACTTACACCCCACTTTTGATTCATTGCCATTGGATACCTTCAGTTCAGTGAAGTAAAAAATAATGCTGTTAATCATTTTCAGTATTTTCCAATATCCCAAATCATCAAAAGGCACAAGTTCACCACTAGACTGATCTGTATAGCTATTGTCATCAAGAAATATGTTTTTGGAATTCTGCTAGGGAAACAAGCACTTCCCTCATTTTCATGTATAAGTCAAACTTGTCATCATAAAAAAATAAAAATATAAAAAAATCATAAAAAGGCTCCAGTACACCACTAGACTGATCTGTATAGCAAGTTCCAACATGAAATATCCAATGGTTTTGGAGTTCTGCTCCGAAATGGAAAACAGAGAGAGGATAGACGGTCGGATGGACAGACATGCTGATCGCAATATCCCCACATATTTCAAAACAAGTGGATAACAATGAGAGGTCACACTTCAACATTCACTTACCTGCACTGCCCAGTGTAGTGGCGTCTCTGCATTCTTGTCGGCCATGTTGCAGTCGGCGCCATAGCACAGCATTGTCATGAGGCAGTCAAGGCGCTGGGTGGAGATCATCACGTGTAGAGCGGTGTCGCGCGTGTTGCTGAGGGAGTTCATGTCACATCCAGCCAGGGCCAGGAACTCTATCACCTACACACATAGACGTTACGTCAGAAGTCAATCACATACTGAATAGTGTGAGCGATGCCATAAACCAGTCTGATAACACTCGTATCATACTCTGTATAAATATGCAAATGAAGTGACCTTGGATGAACTACTTTTTATAAGATCCACTTGTCAATGCAATGCCTACTTGATCAATACATAATTACCTAATGTCCCATATAAGTTTAGAGAGGAACTTCCTGATGAGTGTGTGTTTTTGCACTCTATAAAAAATTAGGCAATTCACTCCAGCATTGTATTCATACAGTTTCTATCGTTACTTCAATACCCAAACATGTACCAATAACAGGGATGTGAATCATTCTCAAGTGTGCATAATGCATAAGAAAATGTGTTACAGACACCAACAGAACGCAAGTGTCTTCTGAGATTGTAGAGGATTGATCTGTAGAGGTTGTAAGAACAGCAACACCTCGTCTTAACTCTTAAAATACCAGGTTGTAAGAACATTTTTTCAGAAAGATATTAGATCTTTATATTAAAATTCTTATCCATCCTTGCCAAAATAAGTTTCACAAGTGACTGGTGACCTCATTGACCTCTGACCTCCCCTGAGACAGTGCTAAGTGTGAGACCCCTCCCCTGAGTCAGTGCTAAGTGTGAGACCCCTCCCCTGAGACAGTGCTAAGTGTGAGACCCCTCCCCTGAGTCAGTGCTAAGTGTGAGACCCCTCCCCTGAGACAGTGCTAAGTGTGAGACCCCTCCCCTGAGACAGTGCTAAGTGTGAGACCCCTCCCCTGAGTCAGTGCTAAGTGTGAGACCCCTCCCCTGAGACAGTGCTAAGTGTGAGACCCCTCCCCTGAGACAGTGCTAAGTGTGAGACCCCTCCCCTGAGACAGTGCTAAGTGTGAGACCCCTCCCCTGAGTCAGTGCTAAGTGTAAGACCCCTCCCCTGAGACAGTGCTAAGTGTGAGACCCCTCCGCTGAGACAGTGCTAAGTGTGAGACCCCTCCCCTGAGTCAGTGCTAAGTGTGAGACCCCTCCCCTGAGTCAGTGCTAAGTGTGAGACCCCTCCCCTGAGACAGTGCTAAGTGTGAGACCCCTCCCCTGAGACAGTGCTAAGTGTGAGACCCCTCCCCTGAGACAGTGCTAAGTGTGAGACCCCTCCCCTGAGACAGTGCTAAGTGTGAGACCCCTCCCCTGAGACAGTGCTAAGTGTGAGACCCCTCCCCTGAGTCAGTGCTAAGTGTGAGACCCCTCCCCTGAGACAGTGCTAAGTGTGAGACCCCTCCCCTGAGACAGTGCTAAGTGTGAGACCCCTCCCCTGAGACAGTGCTAAGTGTGAGACCCCTCCCCTGAGACAGTGCTAAGTGTGAGACCCCTCCCCTGAGACAGTGCTAAGTGTGAGACCCCTCCCCTGAGACAGTGCTAAGTGTGAGACCCCTCCCCTGAGACAGTGCTAAGTGTGAGACCCCTCCCCTGAGACAGTGCTAAGTGTGAGACCCCTCCCCTGAGTCAGTGCTAAGTGTGAGACCCCTCCCCTGAGACAGTGCTAAGTGTGAGACCCCTCCCCTGAGTCAGTGCTAAGTGTGAGACCCCTCCCCTGAGACAGTGCTAAGTGTGAGACCCCTCCCCTGAGTCAGTGCTAAGTGTGAGACCCCTCCCATGAGACAGTGCTAAGTGTGAGACCCCTCCCCTGAGACAGTGCTAAGTGTGAGACCCCTCCCCTGAGACAGTGCTAAGTGTGAGACCCCTCCCCTGAGTCAGTGCTAAGTGTGAGACCCCTCCCCTGAGACAGTGCTAAGTGTGAGACCCCTCCCCTGAGATAGTGCTAAGTGTGAGACCCTTCCCCTGAGACAGTGCTAAGTGTGAGACCCCTCCCCTGAGTCAGTGCTAAGTGTGAGACCCCTCCCCTGAGACAGTGCTAAGTGTGAGACCCCTCCCCTACCTCCTTTGTCTTTGCCCAGTGAAGTGGGGTACCCCCGTACTTGTGATCTCGAGCCCCCAGCTGGTCAGGGTGGTTCCGGCAGATCAGCTCCAGTGACCTGTTGAGTACATCACAGACATCAAGACAGACTGAATGAGTGAGTGAGTGAACACAATATTACATATACAACACACAAGGCAAATACACAAAGCACTATAGGGCCTTTATTATTTTTTATTAGTTGCTTTACAGATTTTTTCGGTGGTTGGTAGGATGTAAAAACAAAAAAATTCAAATTCTGTATTTTTCATTCTGTCTTTTTTTTGTGAAATATGTGACAGACATGTGATTATGTTAATACTGTATTAAAGCAAAATGTAGAGCATTACAACAACCTAAACTTTATCAGGCAGAGTGCACGGCACTGTTACTTCACAAACCCTTATCTGCCTTATGACGTGCCATTATCAATCATGTTGCCATATGATGGATCATAAGGATAACACTATTTTTCCAGTATTATCACTACCTTCTTGTGACAGCTAATGAGAGACCTCGGGATTCTGCAAATGAATAGCACTGCCCTTGTAATAGAATTTACATGGGACTCAAGCCACACACTGCTGGTGTACCAGTGAGGCTATACAATAGTACTCTCATGGCTTCATCTAAAGCTACAACTAAAGGTCACTGAACATTGTCCGAGTCATCCAGAGAAGGGAATATTTGTTGATTATTTGTCCGTAAGTGTGATTATCAGCCTCGGTGTTGATAAAAATATTTAAACTGCAATTCATTTTCCCCAAATTTCATCTTTTTAGTGTGGATGGATCCTTAAACCAAGTAATAAAAAATATAACACATTATCAGTTCTGAGGTGATCCATTCACACTTATTTTACATATTTAACAGATTACCCACCTGACATCGCCAGCGTCAACAGCCGCGTGTACAGGCAGACAGGAAGTGGCTGATATCTTGGGGTCTGCACAGACGTGCAGCAACATCTCCGTTGCTTCTGGTAATTTTTTCTTACACGCCATCAACAATGGTGTCTCTCCTCGCCCGTCTAACCAGTTCATCACTCCTTCCTTGTCATAACTGGCCACCATCTGTGTGAAGCAGGTCACTTTATTAAAGGGGCACTTCTCTCCAGGTTTGGGTACCATTTCCAATGTAACCTAGATCTTATAATATGAGTGGCACTGCCGTGTGTGAGACTGAGACATGGTGATTAGGGTCATCATTAACTGCGAGACTGACACATACATCAGCAGAAGACACTAACTGTTTATTAATGACAACTGTTACATTGCTTCATTGGCTGCTTGAAAGGACAGCTATTGTTCTGGGTGCCATGATCATTGGGGAAACAATAGAAGGCAATGCGTGAATGAATGAATGGCAACAGTGAGTGAGTGAGTTGGGTTTAACCCCGTTTTTAACAGTATTCCAGTTATATCACGGCGTGCCAGTTTAATGTGGGAGGAAAGCCCGAAGTGATACAGGTCTCAGATGTTTAAACGGGTGAAATGGTGCTGACAAACCTAGAAACATAATTGAGTAGAACTGGGATTCGAACCCGCAATCATAAGTTTCTGGAGTGCCCAAGGGACGCAACTCTGCACATCGAATCGTGGCCTCTTAGACGACGGGGCCACCCGTGCCCCCGATTGGCAACAGCCTCAAACTCAGCTAACATGGCTGTTTGTTGTTGTTTAATGCTGCACTCAGCAATATTCCAGCTATATGAAGTCAGTCAGTAAATAATTAAGTCTGGACCAAACAATCCAGTGATTGACATCATGAGCATCAATCTACACAACTGGGATACAATGACATACAGTCTTATGACAAGCTGTCCCCTCTTGTGACATAATGGGTCGCTGAAGACCACAGTTATTTGAGAAGGATTGATGTTTGGAGTATATTTGAAACAAAAAAAGAAGAAATTTGACCATGGTCTTATTTAGCAGAAGTACGAAGAACTACTGTTTTCTGCTTGGCTGATTCCAGGACCGAAACACTTACCTACCTCTGTCTTGGACTAAGTAAAGCATCTTTTCCAAGTAAAAGTTGATTTTAAGCAGTCTTCCAATTTGACTTTAGGTACACATCTCACTTGGATGATGCCACAATTTTGAATCACTTTCAGCGGTGGCATTTTGATTGTTGATTTAAGCTCAAGAGAGAAATTTTGGGCTAAGTATGAGATAACACACATGAAAATGGAATGTCACTTTGAAGACTGAGCCATGATGGTGAACGGGTCCAGGATATATGTCATAACAGAACGGAGATACGATACACTGGCTAGCAAGGGATGGAACTACCTGGGTATCGATGCTCGGGAGCAGGGAATCAAACCTGACCTGTCTCACTGGCGAGTTTGTGCTTGTGCTATAGAAGATCCAGTGAACTACTTCCTCACTGGTCCCAGAGATTAATTCAAGGGATGTTTCGATATCAGTGAGTGAGTGAGTATGGTTTTACGCCGCTTTTAGCAATATTCCAGCAATATCACGGCGGGGGACACCAGAAATGGGCTTCACACATTGTACCCATGTCGGGAATCGAACCCGGGTCTTTCGCGTGACGAGCGAACGCTTTAACCACTAGGCTACCCGACCGCCCCTGTTTCGATATCAAGGATTAATATTTGATTTTGATGTATCGATTTAAGTCCTGTTGTAAATACCAATATTCTTTCTTCAGTCCACTCTCATCACACTTTCTCACACATTTGAATTGTAAATTGTTTAACAACTTTGTAATTGTCCATCCACATCATATTATTTTCAGACAAGGGAAAACGTTTTCACCTCAACTGTTCACTTAATTAGATTAACAATCTTCAAGATGTCGACATTAAGATTCCTACTCATGAACAATTTTACCACGTTTACCACTTCGGTGAAACCCACGAGCACGGGTATGGTGCTGACAAACCTAGAAACATAATTGAGGCGAACCGGGACTCGAACCCACAATCATAGGTTTATGACATGCCCAAGGGATGCAACTCTGCACAGCGAATCACTTTGCATCATGAAACATCATGAGAGTTCAGAGAACAGTTCAGGGAATGGCTCCTCCTCGCTATTCCACTAATCCCCTGCAAGAATTACAAGAACAAACCGGTTTGGGTTAGCCTGCTCATGGTTTATAGAGCTGTTTTATATGTTAGGGTGGGCTTCTAAACTACAAGACAATTTTCTTCAACCATCAAAAATTGTGGGTGGGCTAGTACTCAAAGAAGGACCAATGCAGGAGTAAAAAGATTAGTGTTTTCAGGAACACATCAACTTCTCTTCTCCCAATTTAGCTTACTTACAGAGAGGCATGATGGGTTGTTGAGGACAGCGTGGTGGTACACGGTGAGGCCGTACTTGTCGCTGACATCGATCCTGGCTCCCAACATGAGTAGCTCCTGTATACACTGTATCTGCTTGCCCTGCACACTGGCCATCAGGGGAGACAACCCTGTCGCAGGACACACCGTGTTGATGGCACTGCAGCCACAACAGACATGTCATGTTTACTATGTGCACACCCATCATTGGAAACTGATTAATGATACTTGGAAATTTAATTTAGAACTGATGGTGCAAAATGTAAAAATTTCAGGCATCAAATACAAATATGAGTGAGTGAGTGAGTATGGTTTTTAAAGCCAGTGTTAGCAATATTCCAGCAATATCAGTGTGGGAGATACCAGAAATGGGCTTTAATCACATTGTAACCATGTCTGGAACTGAACCTGGATCTTTGGCGTGATAAGCAAATGCCTTAACCACTAGGCTAGCCCATCGCCCTAAATCTGTAATCTGACTTTGTCAAATACGAAATTTATTAGCAATCTCAAAGTAAACTCTCACAGACAGTCATGACATCATGTTGGAATGCTATGATGTCACAATACAAAGGATGAAATAAGCTGCTTCCGTGATAACTCAATCTGCCTTGTTTGCAGAGCATGGAACAAAAATCAAAGTTGTTCTGATAAATACTGATTTAGCATCATATATAAATATGTTGTCCATTTGGGGCAATTTGGGATTGGACAGACCGCCAGGACCCAATCCCATGTTACAAAGTTTTTCAACCAATCATACTGCAGCACATATTTCCATTCATTTTACTATGACAGCTGAGATCTATCACAGATCCATTAGACCCATCACAGACTGTCACAGATTGTCACTGACTCACAGATTGTCTAACCAGACAGACATCAGGACTAATCAGAGACCACCTGCGATTGTCTGCTGCAAGTAAACGATTGTAAGGAACCCACTAGCTTTAGTCTTGTCAGCAACAAAAACCTCAGCATGTTCCATTACCTTTAAGCTATCTCTTACAGTATCCAATTCCTTCTTTTAAGAAACATTCCCCTCTTACTGAGTCTAATCCCTTCTTCTATAACTGAAGTGCAAGTGATCACTTGTTGCTCCTACCTTCTGATAATTTCATGTCTGAAGCACTCATAGAGGCCGATGTAGGCGGCGATGTGGCACGCGGTCCAGGTGGGGTGTTCGCGGATGCAGTCGCTGACCTTCTGCAGCACGTCCTCCTGGTTCAGGCTGCTGCTGCTGGTCACAAGGCACACCATCTTCGGGGCCAGGATGTTGAACTGGGACAATGCCTCAGCCTCCATCATGATGCGGAAGATGCTGAAATGGATGTTTATGGAGGATTACATTCTGCCACTGGCCACAAGCCAAATAGTCCCCCCCCCACACACACACACACACTTTTGAAAACCAAATGTAGTAGGATAGAGAGGATATTGATATTTTGGACCCCTCCCTTTTAAATATGCTGTATCCGCCCTTGAAAAGTTATTCTGCAGGACATATTCTGTAGGCTAAAAGACTTGCCAGGCTTTCATGCAGACTGAGGTTATCTTTCCTTTATCCATAAAAGTGTGAATGAATAATGTTTTATGCCAGCATCAGCAACAATCAGTTGTCGAGTGATAGGCAACGCTCCACATCATCAGGGTAGGTTGTAACACAGTCGTCCCGCCCACATGTTGGTGGTGGTGATGCATAGTGTTATAGCCAAACATTAGCATGATTAGTCAATTAATAGTTATATTTGCTGAGAACATGTCACCAAATGATTTAGTTACATGTTTTTTAATAACAGGATTTTGAAAATTTTACAATAAGTAGTATATATATATATACTTATCCTATCTCATACTATGCATTAATGTGTGACATAGGAAAAGTTAAAAAAGTTGAAATTTTACAATAAATTGTATCTTCATATACTTATCCTATCTCACACGTTATATGCATCATGTGAGATAGAATAAGTTTAAAACTTTGCATGTTTCTTAAAGGTGTTGTGTACACCCAAGTGCCCTCCCTCTGGATCTGTGTTTGTGTAACCACTTTAGTGAGCACGGGAATGGTGAGAGAATCAGAGAGAATTGGGGAATATAACAGCCAGCCCATTGGCCACCCATGCGGCTGCATGAAGCACCTCACCTGAAGCACTTGCTGGTGACCGTCATCATCAGTACACACTCGTAGCATCCGGGGCGCTTGTACAGAAACAGCCATTCCTCACGATTTATCACTTGGAAGCTGAAATAGTCAGTACTGCGGTTATTCAAGTCAGCTATAATACTGAACATGTAAGATAAGGTTACAGACTTACATTCTTATCAGAGCTCTACATGATATAAAAATAATGTCAAAAGAAAATGATGTATATCTGACACTGTGTAGAGATATGAGGCTGAAGATCGATTCATCAGAATAGATTGCAAAAGGGTCCACCTCTGAACAACACAACGGCATTGCAGCCCACAGAGATGGGTGAGCCAGTCAAGCAGGGATGGAGCTAGACATCCCAGTGGATCAAGGACATCTTGGCACACACAAACACAGACTGACTGACACTCTTCAGAATGCAGCACCAGTCTAAGGGTTAACCAATGGCAGGTTAAACTAAGAATGGCATGGTTAAAAAATGTTCCTGGTACACTTATGGCACACTCAGAAATTAGGGGTGGAACGACACAGCAAGGTCACGATACATAGGTCACACTTGTAGACGGCCACAAATACACAAAATACAAAGTTGAAATTAAGGACAAACATACACAATAAGTCAAATGTTATGAATAAAGGTCATTATTTACATATGAATAATGAATTCAAAATACAAAACAATACCAATGAACAAGTTCCAAACAAGAGAAAGAACAATGTGTACTGAAGAACGTCTGTGTACTGCAATTTGTAAAGCATTCCAAGTTTAATCGGCTTGTATATGACGTCACACGCTGATTGCATGATGAATGACCTGAATTCATTATTTGTGTGACCTTTATTCTTTCATTCTTTATTCGTAACATTTGATTATTATTGTGTACGTCTGTCTTTTATTTCAACTTTGTATTTTTGGACCGTATGGTCACCCACACACAATACCACATGCAGTAAACAGTGGTTATAACCAACTCAAAGGGATCACTAATTTTAGTTCGTTATAACCGTAGTTCATTATAAGCATATATACAGCAAATATACAACAAATGTCCAGGACTAAAAAATAAGTTTGTTACATTGGTCAGTTCGTTTTATGTGTTAGTTTACTGTTTATCGCAATACTCATATTTATATGAAATTGAATGGGAATTTCTTGACAAAGTTTTCAGAGCAGGTTGAAAAGGAAAAGCTAGCCGTAGACACATGTTAGTAGCGGCTATAATCTACCTAGCTAAAGTTTGGTGTGCTTGATATATTAACTATACTATACCAACATACCCCCTGTATGTATCAGCATTGCTGGCCTGAACCTTGTATGGGTTGATGTTGGCCGAGGCAGCATTGATAATGCCACCCACAAAATTCTTCAGCAAGCCAGCCATTGTGTCAGGTCAGTCTGTTATCATAGACTTACTTGGAGAGAGTAGACAGTAGACATATCCTGAAAACAGCAACATACAGTTTACGCCCAGTGCTTCACATAAAACAAGCATTTACACAATTTAAGAAGTTATAAAAGCCTAGGTCAATCCCGTGCAAACGAGATGACTCCTCATATTGAGGGATCTATTGGAAAAGACTGAAAATAACATAACTTAACACACAGACACCTTAACATGAAATGTATACAGACACCTTAACATGAAATGTATACAGACACCTTAACATGACACATGTGTACACCTCACTGTGTACATGGCCAGATTGTTTTGGAAACACTTCCGCCTGTATCCCCCCTCCAAAAGTTTTATGTGTATGCATTGCCGCTGAATCCTTTTATTTATACATATATTTTTAGGGGGGATACAGGTGGAAGTTTTACCATTCTTCTTACGTTTACTAACTACTTTTCGCCAGGGCTCTGGTAAATCAATTCCCAATTGGACATTTTGTACCCATCTCTTGTGACCTACTGGTAGGTACCCAGGTAGGTTCATGTAAAAGGGAGGTGGATATCTTGATAGAAAAATTTGGACTTGTCCAAGCCCTAATAGGACCATCTGAGAACTGAGACACTCTCTACATCATAACAAGCAGCACCATTTGAGAACTAGACACTGTCTGAGAAAAGCATGTAGGACCATATGACAACTGAGACACTGTCTACATCATAACAAGCATTCAGGACATCTAAAAACTAGACACTGTCTACATCATAACAAGTAGCACCAACTGAGAACTAGACACTGTCTACATCATAACAAGTAGCACCAACTGAGAACAAGACACTGTCTACGCCATAACAAGTAGCACCAACTGAGAACTAGACACTGTCTGAGAAAAGCATGTAGGTCCATATGACAACTGAGACACTGTCTACATCATAACAAGCATTCAGGACATCTAAAAACTAGACACTGTCTACATCATAACAAGTAGCACCAACTGAGAACTAGACACTGTCTACGTCATAACAAGTAGCACCAACTGAGAACTAGACACTGTCTACGCCATAACAAGTAGCACCAACTGAGAACTAGACACTGTCTGAGAAAAGCATGTAGGACCATATGACAACTGAGACACTGTCTACATCATAACAAGCAGCACCATCTGAGAACTACACACTGTCTACATCATAACAAGTAGGACCAACTGAGAACTAGACACTGTCTGAGAAAAGCATGTAGGACCATACGACAACTGAGACACTGTCTACATCATAACAAGCAGCACCAACTGAGAACTGAGTCACTACATCATAACATGCATTCAGAACCACCTAAGAACTAGACACTGTCTACATCATAACAAGCAGCACCAACTGAGAACTAGACACTGTCTACATCATAACAAGCATTCAGGACCATCTAAAAACTAGACACTGTCTACATCGTAACAAGCACCACCATCTAAGAACTAGACACTGTCTACATCATAACAAGTAGCACCAACTGAGAACTAGACACTGTCTACATAGTAACAAGCAGCACCATCTGAGAACTAGACACTGTCTACATCATAACAAGCACCACCATCTAAGAACTAGACACTGTCTACATCATAACAAGTAGCACCAACTGAGAACTAGACACTGTCTACATCATAACAAGTAGCACCAACTGAGAACTAGACACTGTCTACATCATAACAAGCATTCAGGACCATCTAAGAACTAGACACTGTCTACATCATAACAAGTAGCACCAACTGAGAACTAGACACTGTCTACATCATAACAAGCACCACCATCTAAGAACTAGACACTGTCTACATCGTAACAAGCAGCAGCATCTGAGAACTAGACACTGTCTACATAATAACAAGCATTCAGGACCATCTGAGAACTAGACACTGTCTACATCATAACAAGCAGCACCATCTAAGAACTAGACACTGTCTACACCGTAACAAGCACCACCATCTGAGAACTAGACACTGTCTACATCATAACAAGCAGCACCATCTAAGAATTAGACACTGTCTACATCGTAACAAGCACCACCATCTGAGAACTAGACACTGTCTACATCGTAACAAGCAGCACCAACAGAGAACTAGACACTGTCTACGTCATAACAAGCACCACCATCTGAGAACTAGACACTGTCTACATCATAACAAGCAGTACCATCTGAGAACTAGACACTGTCTACATCATAACAAGTAGCACCAACTGAGAACTAGACACTGTCTACATCATAAAAATCAGCACCATCTGAGAACTAGACACTGTCTACATCATAACAAGTAGCACCAACTGAGAACTAGACACTGTCTACATCATAAAAAGCAGCATCAACTGAGAACTAGACACTGTCTAGATCATAACAAGTAGCACCAACAGAGAACTAGACACTGTCTACATCATAACAAGTAGCACCAACTGAGAACTAGACACTGTCTACATGATAACAAGCAGCACGATCTAAGAACTAGACACTGTCTAATTATTAATTGACGTTTATAATCATTATTACTTGAGTGAACAAAAATATGAAATATTACACTCGCGGTTGTTTAAAGGACCTATGTCAAACTTGGGCCCAGTGGATTTGAAAATATTCAAACAGTGTTTAGGCCTATATGCTCATAAATAGAGAAAATGTCTGTTTTGTGTTATGCGGTATGTCTATTGCCTAATTATCCTACTTAGCGATGTGATTATTCGTGCGTCATGTTCACCTCAATACAGTAGCTCAACAGTGCTCAACGCATTAAGCTGTCATTTCCTAGTAAATGATGCTTGTCCACAAAACGTACTTGAGTGAATATGACGCTACAATGCGGAAGTCGCATGACCGTGCATAGGTTTCTTTTCTGTCACCTCAAACGACAGAAGAGTGCAGACGTGAGAGTTACCTCCCTTAGACCATAGTCCCAGCTCCTTCCCGGCGCGTGACACTCTCGGTGTTAGAGAGCTCCGCGAACGGGCTAGCGCTGTGAGGAGCTTGATCACTGTCGTGGATCGATGCTCTCTGCTCGCGGCATTTTTCATTTGTTGATATTTTTATGAGGAGCGAGAAAAGAATTGTTACGCATCCCCGATGTATATGAATGTTAAGATACCATGCAAAGAATCGCAAAAACAATAACATATGTTTATCAAAAATGTTAAAATCAAATGGCTTCTCCCGAACATTAGTTAGTCAAACTTTTATGGCTACTTACTAGTTTTATATTTATAGTTGTGATACTCTAATTCTTTTACTGTCCTTCGTCCACAGGTTTTACAGTCTATATTTATGCATTATTCCTGTACAACCTGATTTAGTCACGATATGGCTGAAATATTGCCGATGTGACAGCACATCTTAACTCACTCACTCACTCACTGTAAAGCGTCTTAGCGGGAGTTACCGTATGCCTATGTCGACACTCAAGACATATTCAATGGTCGAAGGTACTTCGAGTTTACAAGGTTTCACACTAGGAGGCGCTGAGTAAATTTGCAGTTTTAGAGCCAATAGTCCTCGCCACTTGAAATATAGAATCACGAAACACCGCGATGATTAATTAGAGGGTAACTGCATGTGTGCTAAAACTTATAAAGTGAAAACAAGTCATTCCGCCGATAAAGAATATTACTTACAGTACTGATGACAAAAATTGTGCACTTTTCAAGAGATATCCATTTTGCTAGGGACAAACATAATAGTTTGACTTTTGATTACGTGGTTAGTATCCGGGTACCCTTCGGCAGTCAGGTGACTATATGTAGGCTAAATATAGCAGCATCTGCAGCGAACGCACATTACTGGCACGATGCCGATGTAGTGTTTAAAGCGCTGTTCACCAAGTTCACTGCTATATATATAGCCGCTTGCAGTCACCTGACTGTCAGTTCTTACCCGGATTGTAACCACGTGATCAAAACGCAATGATGATGTTTATGCAAGCAGCATGGCTATTCCTTGAAAGGCGTCAATTCTTCAATGGCACAATTAATGGTTTGTAGTGTAAAATCACACATGTCCAAACTTTCTGGAAGTTATTTTCAGACTTGAGCTGGTTATTTTTGGCCTCAAAGAGAATATATAAGTTAATTGTAAGTTTACTTATTGTAAGTTAAGTGCAGCGTATATGAATATCTGACACCATGACAGTGAAAACAGAAAAGAAATCGTAAAACGCGGGCATAATATTATTCAGTTTACTGAGGCAACAGGCTTTTTTTGTTTTTATTTGTATCCCAAAACAGAGAAGCTACGTCAAACTCTCGCCGCACGAGAGCCAAACGCATGTCGTCGCCACTGGCAACGCCCTCATCTTGCCGCCCCATCAGCACGTGGAAATAGTTTTGAGAGCGCTGGATTTTGAAGCCGTGTTGTTGCTGTCGACTTCAAGAAACCATTCGTAGTAAAATAACATTTATTTGACTTTCAGTGACTTTCCTTATTGATATCTTTAATATCTCTATATATCACTATATATCATTTATGTAGAAGGTATTTATGCCGGCAAGATTCCTCTAAGACTCGCCAAATACACGCGACAATCACGGAGTCCGTTGTACATGTCGTTGAGGGAAACGTGTATTTTGCCGGTCCTTCTCCATGACACAGGGGCTTGTAACGCAGAAAAATACAAGCTATATGATCACACCCAGTGTCAATATACTAAATATAAGGAAAGGATGTAACGAGGCCAAGTCACTAAGTTCGTTCGAGGACGAATTCAACAATGTCCACTGTAAATACCCCTATACAACTTACACTCATTTCATGCCAATATATTTAGCTACACAATGAGACATTGCTGAAGATAATAGAAGCCGTAATTTTGGAGCTAGGGTCTTCAGAAGCTCAAAATATCGCGATTTTAAAATTTCGAGCCAAAATACCTAGACAGAGTTTGTACCGCTAACCTACCTATTTTTCTGTTGATTGTTCAAGGCCCGTTCAGGTACATTTATATAAGCATGGGGCCAATTTGATTTTGTTATTGGACCTCTCCCTTGAAAAATTCTGGATCCGCCCTTGAATCTAATACTCCCCCATCCCCACCCCACCCCCGCAGTTTGTACTCCAAAACTCCATTATGTTTTATTTCGAAAGAGGAATAATGAAATGTTAAAGATTTATTAACATGCATCAAATACGCACTTTTCCGAGAATGTTTTATAAATATACCAGTATATATTGCTCTCTATGGTATGGTATTCACGTATTCATGCTCGCTCATATTATACATCTCCTTATATGATCTTAATTGACTGATGTAGCTGTTCTCTGTAGTTATGTGGTCAGATAAGAAAACAATGGGCACGCCACATGTTATCACTTATGTATTATAAATATATAACTTCTACGAAGTCTTTGACATGTCTGGTCCAGACTCGATTATTTCTCAGACCGCCGTCATATAGCTGGAATATTGCTGAGTGCGGCGTTAAACAACCAACCAACCAACCAATCCTTGACATACATGCATTAGCTTTAAACCTTCGCATATGTTTGTTCTACCGTGTCTGTTTATTTTTCCATTTATCATTTACTCGGTATATATTTCATATCTATTGTAACAATGTGTGACTGGGACAAGTCGGCATGTGGATCACATTTTATCCCTGCGTGTGCTGTGTATTGCGTGGGTTCGAATACTATATTCACCCTGAAGTTGGACCTTGTCCGTCCACACTGGCATGCAGGCTCAGGAGCGACACTTTTGGTTTACCTACCTCTTTAATTTGACACACCGTGCCATATATAATAACGAACATCTTGACTTTTTTCCTTGATGTCTTGCACTGTCGAGTTCTTGGGGACTTCCTCCCACAATTAAGAAAACAGGCTGTAATATAGATACGATACTGTTAACTATCCCAACTTATATCATTTCAGTCTTACCTTATACTATCTCTTCAGGTACCCAGAGCTGTTTCATTTTGCTTTAATTTGATTGCAAACATATACTTTTTACACACATTACGCACGTTGCTTTTAATTGAAAAAAATGGAATTTTGATGACACAAAGTAAAATCTTGTATAACCTATCATGACACACCAGGCAGGCTTACCCACGGTATTTTCTTTTTGTCGTACATGTCAGGTTTCTTCTGCGAGGTATTTGGAAATTTTCTGTGTTGGTTAGATAAAAGGACTGAGAAGCGTTGTAGCATTAATATAAGAGTGAGTGAGTATGTTTTTAACATTGTTCCAGCAATATGACGGCAAGGGACTCCAGAAAAGGAGTTCACACTTGGTACCCATGTGGAGAATCGAACCCGGGGTTTCGACTTGACTAGGCTACCCCACCGTCTCTGTAGGAATTAGAATGCATGATGTGATATAATAGGCCAAAACGAATAGGGCAAATATAAGGGTAAATTAACATTATTGATCATGAAGTTCACATATATATGTTTCAAAACAGCAAGCACACGATGACACCATATGTTCATGAATGTGTTTTACAAGTTTTGTAGATTTAGTCCCGGAGACAAAGTAAGTGATGTGTTGGCGTGTAATGTCGAGATTACAGCTGTGCTGTTAATGTGCAGTATCACCCGTTTCCCGCGTCCTTGAAACACCCGGGACTTTAAAGATACCCAGCTCCCTATGTTTGTCTTAAAATACTTGAAATGGGGATCGGGTGGTCGACATGTCTGCTGAGCAGGAAATGTGTCACCGTAACCCAGAGGTGTGGATCGGTGTTCACACTGTTGATCACTGGATTGTTTTGAACATGTTTTGTTACATATTTTATTTTATTCACAATAATGTGATCAGAACTTTGAAGAGTGTCCATGTTCTTTGATCGAACATGTCCTATATGAGGTCGTCAAGATAAGAGGGTGCTTTTAAGTTATCAATTCATTTCATAAAATCGACAAACTCTTTCACCTTCGTTGATAACATTTTCAAACCCGTACAGAAACAAAACACATCACATAATCTCTTTTTTTTCAGTTGACCAACCTGTTCTGGTGTCCGTCTTTTCTTTCATTGCAGGCAGACTATTCCTTTTGTCGTAAGGGGCTCGGGTGGTCAGGCTCGCTGACTTGGTTGATGCATGTCATCGTATCCCACTTGCGGGGATCGATGCTCATGATGTCAATCACTGGATTGTCTGATCCAGACTCGATTATTACAAACCCCCGTCATACAGCTTGAATATTGCTGTGTGCGGCGTTACGAAACAAACATACAAACAAACAAACAATATCGTATACGGATTGCACAGGACATAGCTTATCGCAACTGACAAGGCTATTGATGCAACTTATTACACTGAATAGCCCTTCAAGCATCGTTTCTTACACCAAATGTCAATATTTCTAGAACTTCACACCTTTAAGGTGTCTATAGAAAGTTATGTCGATAAATATTTGAAGTGAAGTATATGTTTCTCCGACAGGAATTGCCCAGATGGATTTGGATGAGGATGTGTGGGTTGGAAGACTCATCACGACGACCCTTGATAACATCGCGAGGGAGTTGAAGGTAAGGGGCTATATGGGGTCCATCTAATGGATCCGGCACAACTATTCATTTGGTCATTATCCTCATCTTTCCAGTTTGCTCATGTCTATCACATAGATCAGCGCGTTGAAGGGTTTTCATTTCGTTTGGAAATGTTATTCATATTCGTGCAATTTCTTGTCGCTCATGAACCCTTCATTTTCATTGACAAAGAACATAACATGTAATCGTCAGTTATATTGGTCAGCGACTGTGGCCGTGTACTTACCGTTCCAGTGTTTGTTGCACAGTGTAGTGTTTGACTCTTAGACTATCTCTATTGTTACATACCTTTTACATTAACTCCAGGCAGAGCAGGGTCCGGAAGGAGTTGTCAGAAGCTCAGGCATTGAATCGGCGATTCTGGCCAACTTACCCACATATGAAGAATTCCTCAATTGAACATACATAAAATGCTAGCCTTATGATATGAAAACAGTAAAACGAAACAGTTACTGTACAAGGCAGGATATATTCTGTTTTATATTAAATTAAATTTTATTTTGTTATATTTATTTTATAAATTTGATATCCAGGCCAAGAAGGCAGCAGGCGGAAGTCTCCAGACACAGATGTATCAACATCCAAGAAGATAGGGCGTTTCTCGAGATTCCGAGCACTGCTCTCCAGGCTGTGCTGTTGCTGATAGATCTGTGAAGGCATGGTCTTTCTCAAGTTCAATGTCATTTTTGTCACCCTCAGGATGATATATAAAGTCTTTACATGGTTTTTATTATTAATAACTGGGTGGCTCAGTCGTTTAAGGTACCGCAATTCGCTGAGCAAAGTTGCGTCCCTTGGGCGCACCGGAAAGCTATAATTGTGGGTTCGAATCCCGATTATGTTTCTAGGTTTGTTAGCACCATACCCATGCTCTTGGGTTTCACCAAAGAGGAGACTTGTATTACTTCGGGCGTTCCTCCCACACAAAGCTGACACGTCGTGATATACGTGGAAAACTGTTCAAAGCCCCGTTAAACCAAACTCACTCCGTTTCTACGATGATCTGTTTCGTTTGTCAGATTTTACAGATATAAGGGCACATGGTGCCCAGTTTCTTTTAATAGTTCTCAGATTTTTGTTTTTGTACATGAAGAAAATATGATAGAGAAAAAAGGGTGAATGATATCAGGGATCAATGTATGAAATGTGAGCACCTGTTGTGTTATGTACACTCAGTGCGTTGTGCTTTTATTTGAACGAATAACTGATATCTTTAAAGGTTTCAATACACATGTCTTCTTATATAAATATACCAAAATCTATTACACTATAAACATTTGTTGTTTGTTGGATTTTAAAAATACAATAAAAATGGTATATAGTTTAGTCGGGGAACCCTTTAGAAGTATTTTATATGAAGGATATAGTACGTCCGTTTTAATGTTTTATTTGGTGATACTTAATTCCCAACTGAATCCAATAGCTTTATTCAGAAGTTGAGGGTTTTAAATCTCATAAAACCTGCTTATCTTGTGTGCATGTAGTATTGTAACCTGCTTGTTTAGATGTGGTATTGTCATATAACCTGCTTGTTTAGTAGTACTATGCTGTCATTAACGTTTGTGATTTATACTCCCATATGCAATCAGCCATGAAGCAGTTTAGGCTGCAATAAACCTAGAGAGAGAGTCTCCTAGGACCAACAAGGGGCATTTGAAGCAAGTTCTGCCTCGGGATTCAGTCTGTAGGACACAATGGCAACAGTGAACGGGGTATATGGTAAGTATATACACAAGATTAGAGTGTGTAACACATGGAGGCGACCGACCAGGCTATTTCTTGTTGTTTTGCTAAAACGAAAATCGTCTCTTGAAGTATTCTCCTCATAAAGGATTACGCATAAAATATTCTTAGTGTAACATATGTAACAAAGCAGTTGGGAGATTCATCACGACGATCCTTGACAGCATCGTGAGGGAACTGGAGGTTAGGGGGGAATATGGGTCCCTTGTGGATCGTAAAAGGCATGACAGGAGACACATAAGAACACTATCCATTTGGTCATTGTCATAATCTATTCATCAGGAATTTCTCACAAATGTGACGAGTGTTAACGAGACCAGAGCTTATTGGTAGCAAGTATGATAACCGCATTAAAAGATTGGACATGTTTTCGCTTTGACATTTCTGTGAACATTACATAACACGGGATGGAATGTACACCCACCACGGCATTGATAGTAAGAGGCGACTAATTGTCCTAGCTAGCAACCTATGCTAGTATTAAGAGGTGACTTAATAGATTGGTTGGTCATGCAAGGCGACTTGGTTGTCGACGACGTGGGTCGTTGCTCATAATATCAACCACTGGATATGCTGGTCCATACTAGATTATTTACAGGCTATCTTCATAAGCTATTATATTGCGGACTGCGGCGTTAAACACATACAAATGGGAAGAGGGTCATTTTAATGTCTCAAATGATGTTTTTTGTGTGTTGTTTAACGCCGCACTCAGCATTATTGCAGCTATATGACGACAACCTGTAAATAATCGTGTCTGGACCAGTCAATGAAGAGATTGATATAAATCATCAAGCCTTACCAAGCTATTCATTTGGTCGCCTCTTACGAACAGTAAGTGTCATACGACGGTGTGAGAAAAAGGGTCCTACGTTTTATGTCACGTCTGTAAAGGGACGCAACTCACGTTCCCTCGGTTGATTGGACGTACCAACAGTGGAACAGTTCAGAATGACATCATCTGATGAAGAAGTTATCACGCGAATGTGTTTTGGGGTGGTAAATATCCTGTATAAGGAATAAACGCAATGTATTAAACTCGCTAAATAAAAAATCTGTTTCTAATACAGGTTATCCGAAAACTCACTCGCGTGAAAAGCCCTACATATTGTCGATGGTACCTACGATTTCAACAACTAATTTTCCACTGCATTTTATTGTGAAAAGAACTCATATTACCAAGATCGTCTTGGGTCCTTACTTGCATATTTCCATAAATCTTTGTGATCTGGGCCACATTCCGATCTAACATATTAGTGACTCGGGGTCGAGTGGTCAGGCTCGCTGACTTGGTTGATGCATGTCATCGATCCCAATTGCGTGGATCGATGATCATGTTGTTAATCACTGGATTGTCTGGTCCAGACTCGATTACTTACAGACCGCCGTCGTATAGCTGGAATATTGCTGAGTCCAGCGTTAAAAAACAAACAAACAAACCATTATTTACTTACATGAATACAGAGATACTAAAAGACCTAACTGTGGCTAACTGCATCGCCACCAGGAGGAGGTAAAGCTGAAAATGTGTTGGTCAACAACAAATTAACCACAATTAGAATATCTTCGCTGTATGGAAGTACTCGTGCATATCGGGGTATACAAGGCCGTAGTTAACTGTTTTTGACGGGGGGGGGGGGGGGGGGGGGGGGGGGCAAATAAGATTATTCATTTCTTATTCAAGTTAACTTTCACAAGGACAAATGTTTTCTATAACGCACGGGCGTTTTCATGCTGAAACTCGTGGTTGCGGGGACGTGCCAAATGAGGTATGGCGTGTGGTCTCAAGACTTGATTAATGTACCGAGCTGCTGTGACACCATTGCCTCTCCCTGGACCGATGTTCTGGAAGACCAGGGCCGACCCTCTAAGACCAATTCCACCCCACACCATGATGCTCGGACCACCCCACGAGCCTCTCTCAACAACACAAGCATCCGAATAACGTTCCCCACGGCGTCTCCAGACTCTCTCTCTACCATCTGCTGTTGAGATACAGTAACGGCCCTCGTCTGAGAAGAGGACACTTCTCCACTGCTGGTGGCGCCAATGCTGGTGTTGTGTTGCCCACTGAAGACGGTCCCGGCGATGACGTGGTGTCAGAATGGGTCCTCGGTGTGGCCTGTGACAGTGGAGGTGTCTGCTCGTCAATCGTCGACGCACGGTGTCCGCACTAATGTGTCGCTGGTGTGTCCCCATGGTCTGTCGAGCAGTTTTGGCAGCAGTCACAAAGCAATCTTGTAGACGCTGTCGCACAATCTGACGATCCTGACTTCAGGGGGTGACCCTTGGTCTTCCACTACGTGGTCGGTCATCTGTAGTGTTGGTGGTCTGGTACCGTTGCTGGACTTGAAATGCATTCGCTACTTGCCGGTCAATCTTGGCATGTGGTAGCAATTCAATAACAAATGAATGTTATCCGATCTGGGTGGATTTTTATAGGGCAAGAAATGGGGGAACGCATGTGCATTTCAATTTGCACGCAAGTCACGTGCATCGGGTTACCATGGCCGTTGCCGTGATGCGTTTGGGCGATCGGTTTTATTTTCATCTGCTTTTGGTTTTTTTATCATCAAATTTCATTTTTCCGGACAAGATAAAGTTAAATTTTAGAAACTTTAACAAAAATTACCCAGTTATTTAAATGACAACTGTTCATGTAATGTTACTTGGGGTGACGTTTCTTTTGCGGTTCAGTATACATTGCTCACTGAATGTGTATTGTATTGGTGGCATGTTCATCACCAGTATTTCAGTCGGTTGACTGGGTTCGTTCTTAAAAGCAATGGAAGAATACCTGACGTCACGCATGTATGTGGATAGGCATGAATGTGAACGAGCGTGTCCAGACGGCAGTGAAACCCCAGTGGTTGCAGTATGTACTTGTGTGTATAGAATCACATGGAAGTCTTCTTCCACTCACTTACAATAATGGATATAAAATGATTTAAATTTGTCCTTGACATGTGATCTGCCAAACGACGCTTTTTGTGCCACCATTAAGCGTGTAAACAGAAAGTATGTCGTGCCTGTACATTTGTCACATCGTTCGTCACAGGTGTTTAGCAATGCTTGGAACATTATTTCAGTAATATAACTGCGTGTCGGGTATTGTGAGGAGAACGTTGGATGTGTTGCAGGCATTATTGCACAACTTCATGAAATCCAAGAACACAGGCTTGGTACTTCCAAACTGAAGATCTTTTAAGGACGATACCGAAATTCGAAGCAAGCCAGCAGAGATTGACAGTGCCGGGACTTGAACTGCCTGGCTGTCAGTGCCCCGATATTAGTGTGTCAACATGTGTATTAGGGAACATGGCAACATTTACTTAAAATACAACTTATAAAATAATAATGTTCTAAGGGTGTTATTATCAAGGTGATAACAATGAGGTATACATGTGACGTCTCGGAATCCTTCGCCATTGTTGGGCTATTGCAACAGACAATTCACCCGGCTGTGGCGATTCAATACAGGACTACACGAAGCGTGTCCAACCCGATTTCCAAACAATTCGTTCAATACATACACACACACACACACATTAAACCTGAGCCATACTCATTCACCCTGTACAAAATCAATTTAACAGATCGATCTGTGCGAGGAGGAACGTATCGAGTGTCTGTGTGTAGCAGGTTGCATATCGCTGTGATTGCCTACTGGGGAGTTTAATACTATTTACAAAATACAGTGCGAGCTGCTGGGGATAATAACTATGAGTTACTACTGGGACACTTTAAATATTGAAATGTTAGGGTAATAATAGTGATATGTGTAATTTACAGTCACAAACTGTCAACAAAGCAGTTTGGTATTTGTATGCAGAGTCAACAGAAGTCACACTTGTTTATTTTCAAACAGCGGACTTATGCAGCAGAATATATTAATTCAAGCATGTAAGTTAACAAGGTTTATTATTATTATTATTATTATAATTTACAGATTAAAATAGAAAATGCAGCAAAGAGGGTTTGGGTGATCCTGGCAATAGTATTATTGCTATTATTTTTATTTTTATTATTAATGTTTTTATGTTTCTGCATTTTTTGGAATGATTGTCACCAACATCATTAAAATCGTCATTATTATGAATCTTCTATTTAATGTTTGTGTCTATACTATCGTCATTATAATAAATTTAGTTGTTTTTTTCTCTGTCATCAGCGTCATCATTATTGTCATTCATATTCATATACAGTCCGCCGCCAACTCACACTCGCGTCCATACAGTCCGCCGCCAACTCACACTCGCGTCCTTGAGACTTTGTTTTCTATCACAGACAGCTGACCGCCTAATTAGAAGTATTGAGCTGGAGGACATCGATAAGTCTACCTGTAATGTACTAGTGGTTTGGTAGCGAGGCAACCAGTGTTGTTTACACTCTACAGCCACGCTTCACCGATCTCGTATCACAATACTGACACACGCAGAACAGACAAGACTGTGAAGGGAATATATAAGAACAAGGTAAGGATGACATTGTCTCACCTGGTTAATATGGAACTGTCTCTGCTCTCGTGGAGTATTAACGTATCTACCAGTCTCAATGTGGAGAGTGTGGGAGCTACAGCGAAACTGGGCTAGTGCAACACGAAATTTGTTAATAGTGATAGCAGACAAATACAACTCTAGACTAAATGAATTTTTGAAAAGTGTACAATGGAACATTTTAGAACTATTTGCTAAAGACCAATGCCAATCCTGTTCGTAAGCAAATTTTAACCGATCTTCACATTCGGAAATAAATGATTCGGGGCAAATAACATATTCGTTCTCCCATATATATCCAAATCCAAGGCTGTATAAAAGAGTTTTGATTTTTGTAGCCCAATTAGTTTTACCATGTGTGGCTAGCTGAAATAACATATCATAATTTTTCTTAGGATATCGTGAATTTGGGAGGGACATAAGTTTACACCAATATTTTATACAGCGTTTATACGCAGAAATGTACAGTGGGTATCTTCCACACTCTCCTCGCACAACATGATTGGGAGTAGACGTTTTAACACCTAGCAGACGTTTACAAGCAAGTACATGGATACTTTCTATCTCTTTACAGTTTTCAAAACTCCACATTTCAGCCCCATATAACATAATTGGAGCAATTTTAGTATCGAATATTTTTTAAAATAGTTTCAGTGGAATAGGTTTAAGTGATGAAAGGGATTTTAGAACCGAGAACAATACCCGTTTAGCCAGTAATGAAGCATTGTAAGTTTGTTTCGACCATGATAAATTCTTTGAAAATACAACTCCCAAATATTTGTACGATGATACACATTCCAACTGACAACCACTGAAATACCATTTCTCAGATCTAGAAAGTACTCCACTATTCTTAAAAACTACTATTTTCGATTTATCAAGATTTACCTTTAGGAGTATATCATTTGATATACTACCCTCCCCAGTATATCAAATGGTCTCTAAGGGATCATGAAATATATATGTTAATACCAAGTATGAGAACAGATACAAACATCCTATGTCGTTGAACGTCACGCCAACACTTCCCATAGGTTGCATGCGCCACATGCAGTTGCGCAGCACACGTGCGTTTGGTGTCATTCTTGATTTTGAAAATTTTAAGGAAGGTCGATTATTCTCTTTGGACCATTATTTCTGTCAATCTTACTGATGTTGGTTATCATTAAGTTGTGATCTACTTGATTTCATTCATTGTTTGTGGATAAACAAGCGATGTCGCGTCTTTAACGCGGGAGCGTCTACGAGCTACTAGCATGCTGGAAACTGGCAGACGTCAGCTTGTAGTGGCCACTACGTTTAATGTTTCACAGTCTGTGATCAACAGACAATGGAACATGTACCAAGAGACCTACAATGTTGACTATCGCCCCGTTCAGGGCGTCCCAGGTAAACGACAAGAGTACAGGATCGATTTATCCAAAAACCAGGCTCTACGACATCTAGCTCAAACGGCGTATCAAATTGCTGCTAGCTTTCATCAGACTACTGGAGTACCGATCAGACGATTAGAAATCGTCTACATGCAGCTCATCTCCATGCTCGACGGCCACGTGTTGTGCCGCCCCTTACAAATCGTCATATTGCGTAGGTACACCGTTACGCTGTGTACGTTTCCAGTTTGGAGTGATGAAAATGGCGGAAAAACGGGATTAGCGTTTGGCTGAATATTGGCCAGGAACCCGTTTATACCTGTGTAACAATGACCTTTCTGGATACCTTACAGTGAACATGACTTTAGATGTAGGCAATGATCAGCATAACGGTGTACCTAATTCAATACCTAATGCAATACTAGTACTTGATGGGTTAAAAGGACGTTACCATGACTTACCCTTTTCGCGAACAACTGGTGTCATCACTGATTTTAAATGATCCATCCATATCATTTCCACCCTGTTTTGCTTTTTACGGTCAATAGAATCTGTATCGATGGATAATCGACACTGATTATTCTGTGGCGTTGACGTTATATAAGTAATCAAATAACCCACCTGAAAGTGATGAATCTATGACATGTATGTTCAATATTAGTGAACGATTCAGCTGTATTTTAAGCCTGATATCGGAAAAAGTATCCTGTAAAAGTATGCAGACATTTGAACCAGTTGAGTTCGATACATGCTAATGAATATATGTGGGCAATGTAGTACAATATTTAATTTGGCATGTACCTATCAAACGTTCCGATCACAGAAAGCACGGACATTGCCCTGTTAACACATTTAGTCAACATACAAATCTATGATAACAAATATGGAACAAGGGCGCTGAGAAAAATGTCCAGTGAATTCTACTTACTTATTGACTAACAGCGACCAGAATTTCCGTAAACAGCCAATTTCCTAGAAGGTGTGTCCTTTTGAGATTTGAACGTCCAAGTACGTGTCAGGTTCGCCGTTTTGAGATGATTGCAAATCAGTGGGTTAGGTATATATTGGCATTGTAACGTTGTTAATGTAAATTGTTTCATGACGGACAAAATGTAAAAGTTTATAGCATGTACTCAATGAAGAAGGGATGTTTCCTCACTTTGCCAGTGTAAAATAATATTTGTTTAGTTTATTTACCTGTCAATTACTTTTTCGTAGTCTTGTGTAAATAAACTTAAAATGCCACTTAAAAATCATTAAACGTTATCTTTCACCTGTATTGCTTATCTAATTTACTTGTTGTTTTGTAAAATGTATTCAGCAGCTATCAATGGGATCGCAAAATGACAAAGAAACGAGCATTTGTTAAAGTGTAGTAAAACATACAATCTTAGTAAATATACTATTGCAGCTTGTAAATTATGAGAAGAAGATTCTTTGAAAAATGGATAGTAATCTCCAGTAACTGATTGGTGGTACTAGTCTACGATAGGCCACCTATACTAGTCTAATTAGCATATATTTACTAACTGGTTAGTAAAATCTCCTGACAAGTTAGTGTCTGAGTGGACAGTGAAATTCACTTAGTAAGTATGTTAACTTCACTAGCTGTTTCTGCAGTGATGATAAAGTCACGTATTACCTGTGAAGTATGACATGATTTTGCTGATATACCGTCTTTTTTGTCCTTTAATTTGCTCAACGAGATGTAATGCTATATGTGTGTTGTCTGATATACACTTGGCCCGGGTGAACGGGTGACAACGAGTGATGCTTTACCTTGTGTTCGAATCCCAGATTCGCCCTGTGTATGGTTCTCATGTGTGCTACCTTTTCCCTCCCACATTAGCTGACACGCCGCGATATAACCGAAATGCTGTTAAAGTCGCCTCATTTACCCATGTTTTCAACTATCGCTGACATTGCGAGTAACATTACGAATTAATATGCGCATGCGTGACAGCGTGCGCACACACCCTTTTATGTTCATGTCAATATACGGTCAATAGCGTACTGAGGGGTTGTTTGACATAATTAAGAGTATTCCATTAAGGATGGAGTTTATGATCTAAGACGAATGGAAGAGTTCGTCGCATCAGCTGCAATGAATAATGGGGACATCGATTCTTGCAGAAGTTGGTGTCGTCTCCTAGGTTTGGATAACACTCACAGAGATACAGACACACTGACGCACACCATAGATATCACAGCTTAGCTCAAGTCCTTCCTGACAATCAAACATCACATCATCAGTCTCATTCTGCGGTCATCTTGGCCACCCAGTCAGTAGCTAATGTCCACCAGTATCACATGCTTAATTCAGAGCCCCGTGAAGATCCGGGCTAGAATAGGTCTCTAGCAACCCATACATGCCGTAAGAGGCGACTATGCATGTCGCAAGAGGCGAATAGCGGGATCGAGTGGCCAGGCTCGCTGACTTGGTTGATGAATGTCATCGTATCCCAGTTGCGTGGATCGTTGCTCATGACATCAATCACTGGATTGTCTTGTCCAGATTCGATAATTACAAACCGCCGTCATATAGCTGGAATATTGCTGAGTGCGGTGTTAAACAACAAACAAACATAGCTGTGGTTATCTGTGTGAGCATATTTATGTGGCTGCCTGTGGTTAATGCGGCTATCTTAGGGCAATGCCTGACAGTAACTGTAGATCATTTCATGAAGATGGAAGGATGTTAGGGACCAACCAGTTGATAGTCTAGCATTTAATGTTTGTCTGAAAAATTGTTCGTTGGGCGCTTGTTGCGGGGCGTTATCATGCATTCAGCTGTTTACGAAAGGCACACCCCTACTGTTTCCTGACGCATCAACGGTCAACCTTTGCCAGTCGACTATCACGTGTTTTGTCCACTACATTACCAGTGTAGCGTGCACTGCCCCAGATCCACCTATGTTGTTAGCTGAGCTGAATCAACACTATATATCTAGATTAATTGAGAAAGTATCGCTGTAGTTCCCGCTATTCTGTATCACAGCTAACATCTGATATTGACGTCAGTCCCACAGCATGTGATAATGTGCCCACGTAGGAATGAACCATCATTATTCACAACAGGCGGCTAGTGCGTCTCAGGTTCCAATTAGTGTATACCCTTATGTCCCTCAATGTACGACTGTTATAGAGGGATACGCTTGTATACTTCTATCTACAGTGTTACCTGATATTTCCTTCGTGACTGAATGTCATGTCAATCTGCCGGTTTCTGATGAAGCACGTGGTCAACTGAGGGTTGGGTTATACATTGTGAGCCTCACATAGAAAGACTTGACCCGAAGGCATTAAAATTATTTAGTTTTTAACATAATCCACTTCCACATTGATACACTAGTGCCAACGATGTCGGAGGGAATTTATCGTAGACGTCATACTCTTGGTTGTCCAAACAGGTCTCCACACCTGCTATGACGTCATCGTTCGAGTCGAAATGGGTTCTGGTCAGATCTTTCTTCATGTTTGAGAACAGATAGAAATCTGACGGCGACAGATCAGGAGAATAAGTGCCGAAGGAGTTCAGTTAGTGGAAGCTACGGCACTGACTGATTTGTGCATTGGCGCATTGTCTTGAAGGAAGATATCACCTTT